TGGAACAGATTGTGGCAGAGGTTGGTGGAACTGTGGGGAATCAGGTAGAAGAACCAGGGCCGCCACCACTAGAGGAGGAAGTAAGATCAAAAGTTAGGATGAAGACTTCGGGCGAAGAGGTGAAGACATTGGAGATTACCTTCCCCGACTTCTTGTAGCATAGCGTGGTACCTTTACTGCAGTATCTAGACACGAAGAGGGAAAAGTATACTGTGAGGAAGGAGTCGGGATCCTATGTCAAGCTAATTAGAAATAGGACGAAGTTGAAGAGGGCAGTAGCAGTGAAGAGGGAGTGGAATTCCGCGACTGAGTTGGCGAAGGAGCGAGTTGCAATCTTGTCAGCCGAGTGTGCAGCAGCGAAGGCGGCATTGAAGGAGCAAGAAGACCAACTCCGGGAGAAGGAGATTGAGTGCAAAGTGCTGCAGTTGAATCTGGCGCAGAAATCCGGACGATTTGCAGAGTTAGAGAAGACTTGTGGCGGACTTTGTGTATCTACTGAGAATGCACAGAAGGTGACAGTCGATCTGCTCGAGAGATTGGAGAAATCTAAGGAGGCATACGCGGTGGCAGTCCAGCGATCAAAGAGACTGATCACGACCACCGAGAGGCGGAAGAAGATGCACGCTGAAACGCTTGCTAAAGTTGAAGCCCGAATAGCTGAAGAAGTTTGTATCGCCGAAGAACTTTGGTGGAAGATTGCAGAGGTGAAGACGGCGGAAGAGGATCTTCGTAGTAAGATTGCGGAGATTGCGAGTAAGTGTGACATGGAATTCCGACGCGCGGAGGAGCTATTGGCGAGTATGTCAGAGGGATTCCAAAAGCACGAAGAGTAGTTGACGAATTGGGCCAAGAAATTGGCAGATTGCGAATCGGCCAAGTCTTTGGAGGTCGAATGTAAATTAAAGGTTGAATCGGAATGTCGACGGTTGCGGTAGCAGTTAGGTAAGACGAACATGAGATCGCAAGAGTCGCGAAGGAGAATGGAAAAGGAAAAGGAGGACTACCGTCATCTATGGGACGAGACAACCGATGAATTGAGATTGCATGTAGAGAAGTGCTTGCGCGGATTCGCGATGTGGGGATTGCAAACGGTGAAGTGATTGAAGTTAGATTCGCTCGAGCGACGTTTGATGAGCACTAAGGCCAACGGATCTGCATGACAGAAGCAGATTGTAGAGACAGTTAAGACATTTTTTGAGTAATTCGATGAGGCGCGACAGAATGTAGAGTTAGAGATTGTAAACGTTTTGCGTAGACTAGGAGCAGAGATAAGTTCAGACGACGCCGTAACCGCTACATCGGACGGCACAGCACGTGAGACTGATTTGCCTCAGGCGGTTGAGATTCCAGAGTTGCCATTGTGAATAAAGAGACCCAAAGCTCTTTCCTTGGGGAGCTTTTCTATCATTTGGCTTGTCTTGATTGTGAATCTGTGTCCAATGTGCCTGTGCGCTGGTGTGTGATCCAGGCATTGAGCACAGTGCGCTCTTGTTTATCGAAGTTACAGCATCGGAAGTTGTGAGCATCTAGCTTGAATGTTCTGAGTAGCCGAGAGTTCCTTGCGATTTAAGCAAATTCAAGTCTGGGTATTCGGTTTAGTGAGTCGGGATGTATGCAATGATGGGAAGTTTTCCCCATGAAATATGAGTGTGGGGTCGCAGGCGATCCCCACAGGCGTTGATTGGAAAAGTTTCAGGTTGTGAGTGTGATTATGCGCTACTCTGCAGGTCTTCGGCCGTAGCTGGATAGTGTTTTCTAGGAGTCGCATTGGCCTAAGAAGTAAAACTCCTTAGTAAAATGCTAATACGTGACAAATCGTGACTTTTGTGGTTGTTTCTGTCCTCGTGGGATCGGACCTGTACCATTATGCTTCATTTTGGTATTTGTCTGTCATTACAGTCTTAAAGAAGCGAGACAGTATTGCAGATCAGATGTGAAGATGACGGAAGTTGTAAGGCATGACCCGGATTGTTCTAGACTCCAAGATTGAGTAGTGGATTCGCTGGTGTGTCGTGGAAGGTGAAGCGTCATTCTTTGAATCTCTAACATTCTCACAAGGAAACATCGTCGCTAGGGTTAGAGGAGGTTGAGGGATACTCGGTTTGGCTCCCATGAACTTCTGAAGAGTTTCTGTTTATAGTGAGAAGAGTAGGTTCGGAAGTGAAACGGGTGGTACAAAGATCGCCGGAACCTAGCTCTCACGGATCCGAATCGGTGTGTCGTTGTAGTCTCACGGATTGGAAAGGATTCACTTGTGTGACTTGCTAGCCAGAATGTTATAGGTTAGCTGTGAAGTGATCTCTAACGAGATACATTGGAGTTTGTGTCATCTAAGCAAGGGAGAGAGGGAAATGGATTAGGATTAGCCTTTGATAATCAATCTCCAAATTTGGAGTATGATTAGATGAAAGTTATGAGAATTACTTACATTACACTAACGAATCTTTGGAACTGAACTCGAAATCACATTATATAGGAATAATATAGGCTTCTTTTCTTCTCAACTAGAAGATAAACAAGTTTCCGTTTCCTGACAACTCCAGTTAAGGAGTAACCTTGGTTGTAGCTAAATATAACCAGGATGGTCATTTCGACCGGAGGTTAATTTACTCCCACTTTTGCCTCGTATAATTAGATACTATTTCCTAGACATGAAAAAAAACATCGCGTGTGTTCTCATCTTGAACGTAGCTCCTTTGAAGGGGTGAACCATGTTATTTCCAGTCTTGTGTGTTGATTTGGTTTCTCATTGTGTTTTGTCACGGATGATTCTCGGTTTACACTTCTTTAGAAAACACATCATTTTACTTAAAATAAAAATTAATACAATGCTTAAGGGAGTAGCTAGTTCCTGCCACACTTAGTAGTTAGAGTCAATTTTTAATTTAGTTCTTCCAAAAAACTAACCTATAGTTAACAAGAGTAATAATAAAATTATACTACAAACGAGATTATTTTGTTATGATTCACATATTTCTCTTGTGTAAAATCTGTAACCACCAAGCTAACTTCACATGATTTTCACTCATCACTCAATCACGGTTTATACTTCATAGCACAATGTTGTGTTTGAGAGACTCAATCAAATATTGTTGAAAAAGTACATCCTCTATTGAGTAAATCAGTTTTACCATACGAATTTTCAACTGAAGCTATTAATACCACCCTATATTTGATAAATTTCTTTACTTTCAATGCAATTAATTTCTAGATTGTACGACTTATATTCAGATATAAAAAAAATTGTAACCAAGCTGGATACTCATCCAAAAAGTGTCATATTCTTGAATATGTTAGTGATGTGAAATATCATAGGCTATAAAACTCACTAAATTAAAACATTTCTTTGTTGGATGGATGTTTTTTATCAATCCAAATCATTAAAAGATGAAAAAATCTTAAGCTCCCTGTATGGACAAGAAATTTTTTTCACTTACCGATATTGTTGTTGAAAGATTGAGCATTATGTGATTAATGATCTGACACAAAGAAATTTTTTGATACAAATAAAGCAAATTTGAAATATCGTTGGTGAACGTCAAATACGTGCATTACACAATACAGATCAACTAGACTCATTGATTAGTAGATCATTACATCTGAATAAAAAATTCATATAAGATATGATTTATGAATTAATTCATTATTCTTGAAGATTATGAATATCATGATGGCCTGTTCATTTTGAAATGAGATCACTCTGACCAATCACATAACTCTCTTCTTAAATAATATGTGGGATGAGTGATAATTAGCATAAACCTGAAGTATAAGTAGACTTTTCCATAAATAATAATTTGAGACAAATGATAACATCAATTTCAAGTTGTAAACCTTAAGAGAATGTAATTTCTCGACCTCGTATTGTTTTTAAACACACCTGGTCGAACTGCTGAAGGAGGAGGAGCGGCATGTGGAAGATGAGAAAAAAATAAATTTGAAGAGTTTTTCTACAAAATTTTCGTAACAATAGTATTTTTTTACATTTTTAAAATTAGTTTTATACTTTGAAAATTCTCGAAGAAAATTAACTGAAAATTTTCGTGAAATCAAATAGAGTAATGCATTTTCAATAAAAAAAACCCCGAGGATAAAAATTCTATGACATAAAAAGTGTAAGAACAAAATTAATCATATAAATTGGAGTTTTTTGAAATTACCTACAAAAAATTAACTTATTACAATAATATGAGATGAAATGACTAGTTCAATGATTTATGTACCTGAAAATGTTAAGGTGATCCCGTCATAGGGAATATGTAGACCTCACTCGTAGGTCACACTGTATTTTTGTAAAAAAATACATAGCACAGTGTGACCTCACTGTGCTATATTGTATTCTATATACATGCAACTCCTACCTTCACTCGGAGTTGCATTTATGAGCCGATATGAATCTTATGAGGAAACTTTTGGAGGAGTATTTTCAATATTGTAATCATAGAGGTTTACCCTTGAGAATTTGTCACTCTTTCTGTATTTTCTTATGTCCAAACGGAGCCCGCATAATATAGGAAAAATAATAGAAAGATACATTATATAGGAAGACACGTCAAACCTTACATGGAGCTAGACGATAATTGGGAAAACTAGCTACTGATATATTCAAATGGTCTAACTGAACGACAAGCCATTTGAACAACACACTACAAAATGCTTTCAGTATTTTCTATACCATCATAATATTATCCAAAAAAGGTTCACAATCTGCAATGTAGAAATGAAAAATATGATAATTGTACATATTCATATATGCTGGATAGTAGAGACTATTATATTCATGTTTATAAGAAACAGAGGACTAGAGATGCCTTAGACACACATTCCCAGATATGTGTAATCACGCTGTTACACGGTAAGTGATGGTTATTGCCATGCTCCAAGAAACTGTTGAGCGCAATAGATTGTGGCGCATGGAGCTTGCAAAAAAAGGAGGAGAAAAGTGGCTTTGCACACGGTCCTACAAGGCTCCTCAGACGTGGTCAGGCACATCATGTGCTCTGGATGCGCTCGATAACAAGTAAGGACAGCAAGGGACGAGACCATGTGCGTGCGTTTGACCATGCAATTCCACACATAGCCGATGCCAAGCGAAGAGTTCAGTGTATTTGGGAGCGAGTGCACACCGAACGCAAACGATGGAAGAGGAGGAGGAGAATTGTGTGGGTGGGGTGGATCCACGGAGCTCGCTGAAGCGAGCAGGGCCACGCCATTTGTGGCAAAGAAAGAGAGACATAAAGTGACCGATCATGAAACCCACTCTCTCCGACTGCATGACTGTTGTTGTATCATCGCAGTCTCGATGATTACTGGCCGAGGCTGACATTTCTCTGAGCGTACCGATTCCTTCGTCTTGGACCGAGCGAGTGAGTGGGTACGAGAGAGAAGTCCTGCCGCAAGTCGTGAGTCAATTATGGAGCAGACTTTGGTGGCACGGGGAGGAGGAGGGGTGCATGGCATCTTTCGCCCCGCTGGACGCACCTTCGCTTCTTCCGCCCGCACCGGGATTTCTGCGTTGGCTCGTCTTCATCTCGCCTCGGCCAGTCGACTGCACAGTCCTCGCAACTCTTGCAGCTCGCACCTTCGTCGTTCGCGTTCGGTGTCCACCTCCTTCGGTATGTCCACGACTCTGCCTTCGGTTCCATCGCTCTCGATTGCCTCAAGCTGGTTGTGCGGGTTTCTCCGTTACTGGGATAGGGGTATGTCGATGTATGGTGGCCTTCGCTCCATGCCGTCTGTCTGTCTGTGCGCTGGCGTTATATCCAGCCGGATTTGCAGTTCTATCCAGGCGAGGAATCTGCGAAACGGATTCTATTTTTGCCAGTTCGATTCCCACTGCTCTGAAGTTTGTGCATGCGAGCGAAATAGTTCCTGGGGTCATGATGTTTGACTGAACGTTTAGTTGTTACCTCTGTCCTCATCCCGGACGCAAGGTTCGTCAGCGATTCCACACCACTGAGATTTTGTTCCTCAAGCATTTAAAGTTGAGGGAATTGGCGTGTCTAGTGCAGTCGGAAGTTCGATGTTGGTTGTAGATACCATGCTGTACCATGATAGTCAACAGACCTGTCGGCTGTTTACAGTGTCCAGACGAGAGAATGTTAGCCATTTCACTCACCGCTGTAACTTTCAATTGCACTCGTACAATGTACTCACCGGAAATGGGGAAGGAAGCTCCATTTGTGATCGATCTGATGTCTACCGAACGGTGGTGTTTTTGTGATGCTTATACCAACATGAAATCCTGGCGGATGAATATCTGCCAAACACTGACTGACTGCTGAACACATACGACACCCAAATGTGCATAGATGGAATGCCTACAAGCGTAACAACGAGTGCTTCTCCGCAATCGAGAACTAATCTGTACTTTTTCTTGCTCATTGATAAGGTCCGCATTCGCAGGCTTTCCCAGTCTCAGGGTGGGAAGAGTCTCAAGACTCCAGAAGATAATGGCCGATATGACGACTGAAGCCCCAGCGTCTGGAGAACGCGTTCCTACGAAGACAATGTATGCATCATGACCTTCTCTACATAGTTTTCCTGGGGGGTTCATGTGTCACATGGTTGGATGGAATTAGAGTTTATTTCACCTTATCCTCTTTGTGCAAAACTTCTGGTCATGGGATCGTTGATGTTTTGCTTGTCGACTGTGCAGGAAAGTTGTGGACCATGCTGTCCTGTTCAAAATGTCAGATAGTTTGGACGAGTTCCAAGAGAAGGAAATGCTGGATGGTCTCCACACATTGCAGTATGCAATCAAGGACATCATATGTTCCAGCGTCGGTGAGTGTTCCTTACATATATTCAAAATGCTAGTGGCCTTGTGGATTTTTGTTTTCACCGTCTTCTTCGTTTTAAATCGAAGATTTCGGTCGTTGATGCCCAAAAAATAATCAATCGGTTGATGTTTTCTACATTTCTATAAATAACCTTCCCGTTGCAGCCAGCATCCGAAGCCAAAGCTGGAACCGAAGAGTTTACTTGTGCCAGGGGTCGCTACGAAGTGTGCTTTGTGCTACTATCTATGTTAGAAGTGCAACTACTCATGTGGAAAGCGCGGACGAAAATACTCATAAAGTGTTCTTTCTGTTCGTATGTCGCACAATACAGGTCGACTCACCAAGAAGACCCCTGAGGGTTTCACTCATGGACTCTTCACTCGCTTCAAATCTGTTAAGGCTCTACAAGACTACTTGGTTCATGAGCAGAAGGTCGACGTGGCTGACAAGTTGATCATTCCCTTCTTCAGTGTATGAGAACTTATACCGAACCGCTTTGAGGCTACGTCGTTTTAATCCTTTGCTTGTACTTACCATACTTTCATAGAATTTTGATAATAGTCGCAAACTTTATGAAGTAGGAGTAGAAGCAGTCATCATCTCTTGCATCCGGTGGTATTAATCTCTTCAAAGCATAGAGTCCATTGGATACTGCTTCGACTAAATGGCACGACGTTTGTGCCTTGATGTGTGCTTTTCAGGAACCCAACGGTATAGCCATGACGGACTTTGAGTGCGAAGTAGAAAACGACTTGGAAGCAGTTTTCCGTCGTGGAGACGTAAGAATATTTCACTTTGGTTGAGTACCTTGATGTTACCTTGATAGGCAAAGAAGAAAACTTGTCTTCTTTCCACATCTGATAAATAATTATATTTTTCTTTGCCCTTTGAGTTAGTCATTGCTATACATATCTTCAGGTATTGACTGTCACACGGTTCTCTAATGGCGATATCTAATAGTGTAGATGTTCTGTATTGTGCTTGCAAAGTAGCACGTACTTACTAACTTACACTAGTATGTGGTAATTTATGGTTACTTTATGTTTCCATGATCCTCAGCAAAATACAAGCATGACCGTTGTTTGCATTCTGTTCACAGAGGTTTGAATCTGGACTAGAACACTTTACCTTCTTTAAATTCAAAGATAGCACATCCCCAAACGTGGTGGATCAAACCCTGAACTTTATGAAGACCGTTGGTGTCAAATTCGGTGACGAGGTCGTCCAGACGACAATAGGTGTGTGTTTTGACAAGCGAGTTCATGTTTTCTCTGTTGCTGAACATGCACGAATAACTGTAGTAGGACATTTGGTACGAAAACAAGTTTAGTTCGTCTGTTTCCGCAACTCTCCTTTCAAAACGCTGATTTATAACATTTTTCCTTATTCTGAACATCTATAATGACGTGTTGGGACGAAAGGTGTAAATATCGAACCTAGAACAACGGCATATTTTTCACATGGTGTCGTTACAAGATTCAAATCAGGTACATGATTGGAAGTGGTCCTCGCAAGTCTTCCGAGTGTTGGGAAGTTATGAAGATCAGATTCACCGCGTGCTTTGTGACTAGATGTTGGGATATCAGCTTGTATGCTTGAATTTCTGCTTCCTGGTCTTCATAGTGCTATGCGTGTACTTTCTGTAGACTTCCGTTGACAGGTCTAATTGTTGTTGGTTGTGTAATTGTAATCTGTTGAATCCGCAGAATCAGCATGTGATGAATTTAAAAAGTTCGTGGCCAGCGAAGCAGTAAGTCCATATCTCCCTCATCAGACTGGGTTTTGCAATTGCGAGGAAACGTCCGACCTTGTTTAATTATAAATCTGTTACATGAACTCCCGTTCACTTATTTGTATTCATCTGATCTAGGTCATTAAGCACATGTAAATCTTCGCAGCAGACCATCTTACACCCAACTAAATCTTGTGCATTTGTTGCATCAGATGTGGACACAGGTGAGGGATGTAACGGAGAACTTCATCGAAGGCAGCTTCAGCGTGAGTCCTATCGGTAACAAACTCATGTAAAGTATAGTGGTTGGATAGATGGAGGATTCGTGAACAGTCCTTAGGCTGTGTCTTTTCTCATTGCCTCTCAATCAATATGAATCAATGAAATATCACTGAGGGTGTGGAGTCGAAAGTTATCACAAAGAGAAGTTTGAGACACGTCGACACAGTTCGAAAGAGGAGCCTCATCCCTCATTGAACATATGGTGGCCACTAAGAGTAAAAAGCTTACTCTTGGACAGGAAATTCAACCCTCATTTGTAATATGCCCGATGACCGATGTGCAGTGGTCATATTCCGTCATGTTTATGAGTTTTCTGTGAAGTCCAGTAATTGCACTTTCCAATTCGCTGATTTTCTAAGTCCATTTGACGACTTCATTCTAGGGCTGCCTATGATAGTGCTAAACAATATTAGCGCTATACTGGTCTTTCAAGTCGTGTCGCGCTGTATGTCATTCTTGTCTGTCGGAGATGCAGTGATGGAAAGTCTTCGAGTAGTGGATTTCACATAGTATGAATAAGGCAAATGATAATATATCAAGCCCCTGGGACCGAAAGGCCGAAAAACACAATCCAAGCGAAAAATCACAAACAATGGATAGGACCCCAAAGAAATCCCTAGCTAGTGCCAAGAATAATAGAATGATAAAATACTAAAATAAACTAACTATAATGGAAAATAATTATCCTTCACACCTACATGATAATGTGAGTGACCTCTTCTTACCTAGGACGTCTAATAGATTCTTGTTGTTCATACTCAATACACCAATCGTTGCATGACTGATGAACACGTTCACTCTTTTAATACTTTCACAATTCGAAACGCATGAAATTCACTTTTACACCTCGCGAGAATATCACGTAGGATATATGCAAGTGATTATTTCTGTCCACAGTAAAGAAGCATATATTCACAAAAAAAATGACAAAAGTACATGTGTGTGCTTGCTTCTTCCAAAGTATGTTGATATAATTCTTTTGTAGACTTTTGTGTAGTACTATAGATTGTAGATCCCAATCGCTTTTTGCCACATTCCATCTCAAAGTTACATGACCTAACCATCCCTTGAAACATGTGCCTCCCGTGGCTTGAAAAGTAAAGTGAGCAGTATCAAAATATCTCACACTTCTAATATAACTGATGATAAAAAAAGAGCTTTAACCTTTAAACAAACTGATTCATCAAGAAAAAAAATATATGACGTTTGAATTGTGACACCCAACTTTTCTTATAGCCAAATCTTTTGCATCCTTTCCCCAAGCTCCCAACATATCTTCTTACAACCAAGATTTCACACTTGAGTTCCATGTCATAACAACGGTAACACTAAGTTTCTAGTTAAAATTTTCATAAGATTCCAAGACATTAGATGAGAACTTCTACATTGATTTAACAATGAATATAAAGTTTTGTAATCACCTTCTACTCTCCTTTGTACTCAAAGTGATTAACTATAATCATTATAAAAATCAATGCATAGATATTTATAACTCTTCAACTTTTCTAATTGTAAATTCTTGTAATACAAATATAATTTGGATCTAGTGTACACTATCATGACTTTAAACTTCTCCATATTTATTTCCATTTGATTCTCGGTACAAAATCTAGCCAAAATGCATGGATGTTTTTGTAAACTAATTGCATCACGTGCTAGTAATATAATATCATATCATATGTATACAAGAGAGCTTTGATGACAAAGTTTCTAACTCCTTTTCGATGTCATCTATGAAAACTCCAAATAGAGTAGGAGAGAGTGTACAAATTTGAATTACTCCAATGAGACTTAAAATCTCTTAAGTTTGAGAAGTGTTGATTTCGGCCTGAACAGAATGGTATAATGTGAACACGATTGCTAGAAGATTTGATGGTGCTCCAATGACTTTCAATCTTTTCCATAAGAACTGATGAGATATAGTGTCACAAACTTTCTTAAAATTGATGCGTGCGCAAAACAAAGCTTTTTAATTACCCTTAGATTTTTCCTATAAAACACAAAGATCAAGATATAGTCAATGATGTTGTATGTAGTAAGAAAATATGCTTGGAACTGCCAATTTTTTTGTGATATTCAATCCATGTGCTCAACTTGGATTCTATCAATTTGCCAAACAATTTGGCAAAAACACTATCCATCATGATAGTGCGATAGTTTGTCACCAAGTATTTTTTTTTTTTACTTGTGTATAAGAACAATCTTCCGTAATGACCAAGTTGAAGGAAAATCATACATAGCAGCATTTTCTAACACTTTAGTGAATATTGTTTCAATATCATCTATTCCTCACTTGACATTTTCAATAGAAGTACCATCCAAGTTCTTTGATTTATCATTTGCTAGTTTTTTAGTTGAGTCATCATCTCTCATTCAGAAAACAAGCTTGTTTCCTTTACAACGTGACATTGATGCAACTTTAGGAAAGTAATAAAGCTTTTCAACAAAACCAATCAAAGACTTGGAATCAAGAGTAGGTTTAGAAGACCGTACTCCTAACTGTTTCCAGAAAGATTTGAGATGCTCCATCAACTCCTTTGTCAAGTACTCTTTCTTCCTCATAAAAAAAACTCGTTTCTTACACTTCACCAAATCTTTGTAAAACTTTGTCAAGATAAATCAACTTTGCAGATCTAAAAACTTGTCAACTCATCTCATACTTGCTTGCTTGCTTGCAATCAAATTCAAACCATCCATTGCAAGGAAATTTATCAGTTTTCCGATCCTTGTGCTGCAAAAAGAACTTGAAAACAATGTTTTTGAAGAACTCTATTAGTTCCAAACTTGTTGTATGTCTATTAGTTTTCATAAAGTATGGATTAAAAGATACTAAAAATGTAGCATGTAAATATCTTTCTTACTAGTATCTTAAAAAACCTTGGGGGAAATTAAAACAAAATGGCATGTAAAGAGAAGGATTGTTTTTGACAACAAGGGAATGAATAAAAGAATTTAATGCAGTAATTTTAGCTGAGGTTCTAGAACATCAAATGTAGAAATTAGAGAGCTAATAGTGATTGAGGATAAAAAATAATCAATAGTGCTAACATGGCTAGTAGAAAAACACATATTGGAAAGAGAGTTGGGAAAGAGAGAGATATCGTTGAGAACTTTCAAATTACATGTGGTTTCAAAAATAAAAAAATGTTATGTCAAAAGATTTATAGAAGTATCATAACAAATTTTAGATCTCATACTATCTTCAAAGTAATCAAAGGAAGGAGAAATCATGATATCACCAACTTGCATAAAGTAGCACAACGTATGCGAGCATTAAAATTTCCAACAAAATAACTTCACATTTGTTCTGATATTTGACAATATCTCCTATAAGTCGATGGAATAGTTGACTCCGATTGCAAGTGCATGTTAGTAGATAAGCATGGACAATGATGCAAAGTAACAAACAGCCAAATAACTATAAGAAACTCCAATCAATCCAAGACAAAGCCAATGATATTGACCTCCAATATATTGACATTCTAGATGTATTAGAGTTAGAAATTAAAACTCGATGAAAATAACAATACCGCCATAATCTCTTTCAACTTGTTGACTTCTATGATTCCAAGTGGATACCACCAAAGTATACTCTTGTATCTTTGCAATAACATTACTCTCATGTTCCCACATCTTCAGAATGTTGACGATGTCCGACATTTTCCAAATCGAATCAGCACTCACATACTTTGTTGTAAAAAGTTCTCTGTTATTACACATTAACAACCTCAAGCTCTTAGATTGTTAGGTTGATGATTGTATTTTCTGCTGAATAACAATTGCTTGATCATCAGAGACATAAGCAAAAAATATTGTATCTTGAGTTTCTTATACTTTCGTAAGTTATTTTTTCCCTGTTTCTACTTTTAGAGTTGTAAAATTGTTATCTAAACAAATTCTATGTCCTTTGAGAACGGACTAGTTAGAAAAATCTGTATCGTGTTGAGTTTGATCAACAAACTTAACAATAATGGCTTGAGGTTGGGCTTCTATGTTTCCAATGTGGAAAGCTTGAGCTAAATTTGGGTTAGAAATATAAAGTGTTTCAGCCAAAATATTGGTGACAATACTTTTTACCTTTTTCATTTTCAAGTAAATTTGAATATTCACATTTTTTATACGGACGAATTGATTTGACTTTTCAATCTCTTGGTCTAGACAAAAAGAGATATGAGCAATGTTGGTAGATTCAACATAAGATTCTATTTTCATTTCTAATTTTTAACCATCTCATGCAAACCAAGACGAGTAAAAGAAGTTACTTAAGAACATGATTTTTTTGTAATATTCTCAACAAATCTAAATATATCAAATATCACAAAATTACCAGTTTTGATTTCATGTACCATTTCACTCTATGATCTCTTCAACTCTTGGATTTGAATGTGTGGAAAAGAGAAGTGGGCTATGTGCACCTTAAAATCAAATTTCATCTCCTTCATCCAAAACTTTTACACAAGATTCAAAATATCATCTTCAAAAACCTTTTGCATTACATTAAGAAGCAATGAAATTGAAGTCAAGATCTTTAGTTAGGACATCGTAATATACACCGCACCGAGTTCTTAATTGCCACAGAGGTGGTCAAGGCCTTCCTATTTAAACTTGGCAGCACGATGAAAGTCATTCCAAGATCTAAATGATTACCTCATCTAAGAGAAACTGAGATTTAGCTCCCAGCGAAGCTTGGTAATACATATCAAGATCAAATTATTGTATTTTGTACCACGCCTGAAACAAGAATACTGTCATGATTGGAGACGGTAATATGCTGAATCCTCATCGAAACGATAACGATATCAGGTAGCTATGGTTTTAGGGTGAGCCTGGATCGAGGGAGGGTGGAATGCAGCGAGTGAGCCAGGATCAGGGAGCTTCGATTTCGGTTAACAATGGACCTGGAATATCTAATGGACCCGGATAACCGGAGGCCTGGTCCGACGTCATATCCTAAATTAACAGAATGAGATATGAACCTATCAAACTCTTGACACGTAGCACCGAGATGAATTTCAAATGAAGTTCACTTCTCAAGCTATTCAGTATTATCGCAATCTATTTCGGTTGAGAAGATTACTCGCTAAATCACATAATTGAGGTTTCACATGAGTTGCAAATCCACTGGAATTGTTGAACTAGAAGCTTGAAGGAAGTCAACTGTGCACACGTTCCAGTAGGACCTTCAATCCAATACTCCACCGAAGAGCGCAGCTCACACCAACAATAGACGCTCAAGTGCGAGACAGCCTATCACACACAATGCAGAAGAGAACTGGACTGTTCCTCACTCTCCGTGTTCATCCCATGCGGTTCACCATTGCAAAGGTTTCCATACTTGGTGTCTTTCACAACACTTCGAGGTAGACTTTTTTTAATTCTATCCAGTCTTCGCTAACTGTTGAAGAGTATGGAGCAACTGGAGCCCATTAGTCAACCGTCACATCTCACTGTATTTCTTTCCAAACTGTCTTCTTCACCATACCGCTCCAGGGACCTGGAAGCTTTGCACCATGACGTGTAACAGAATTCTTCACCACCCACGGCTGTTTGCCGGGAAGTCGAAGCCCATCTACCACTCGTCCTTGAGAAGCATGAGCATGAGGATGAGTGGGAATCGACTCATTCGCTTGCCGTCTAATACTTCACATGGTATTCTTAATCTTGTGTGCCATCGAATTTCGGGTGGATCGAATAAACCTTTGGCAGTCTTCAGCAGAGGTCGATGATGGCGAAAATTGTATCGACGCTCTGACGCGATGTTCAGACAAATGCCAACGAAACTCCCTTGATATCAGACTCTGAAACGTCCAAAGCATTGCAGACTGTACCCTTTCAAGATCAGAGATATTAACAAACTTGACAGAAAGCTGGCGGGAACGAAGAGGGCGATGGCAAACGCGAGGGCATAAGGGTCACGAAAGTGACCCTTCCAAGCTTCGGCCAAGTCGTAGCGATGGTAACCGTCCATGTTGCAGACCTTGGGACCCAAAAAGCCGACCGAATTGTTGAGGCTGTCGATGAGAATATGGAAATTGCGCTGCCACATGTTACCGATCACGGCAGGACCACCCGCCGGCCCGTGATTGGGAAGCGCAGCGAGGCAGACCTTGGTTGGAGTCACCTGCTTGAGAACATTCTCGGCCGGCAGCTCGATGTCCACGAGCCGCTCGCCCTCTCGAAAGTGCAGAGTCACTGTCGGGACCAGAAGCCAAGGCATGTTCTTGCCCACGACGCTGAAGCAGAGATGCAGTTTCGTGCTCGAAGATGCTCGAGGCAGAGTCATCTTCTTCTCAAAAGCCTCCGTCAGCTTCCTATACACGACCGGCGGCAGAAAAGTGTAAGTCGTTCCCGAGTCCAGCACCACTCCTCCAGCACCAGTTCTGGCGTCGATGGAGAAATCGTCTGCGGACAGCTGCAGCTGCCGCTGGCCGACGCTGAGGCCCTCCAGACGCAAGTAGTAGAGGCTCGGACGCTTGGGATTCTGGATCAGAGACAGATACTTCATGCCCGGAACGCCGGGAGTTGCAGATTCTCCGAACCTCAGAAAGCTGCTGTTGTAATGCTCAGCAGTGCTCAAGCAGTAGGCGAACTTGTGGCCGTAGAGCTCGCCGATCTGCGAGGGGAGCGAGAGCCTGCCCCGTCCGAGGCCCAGCAGTCCTGTCTCGAAGTCGCCGAAGCTGCTGCTCTCGCATCCCAGCACGAGGGACGACGTCGCCACCTTCGCGTCGCCCATATCCGGGATCGAGATCGAATCCATAACCAATCCTCCGCCGGCGTACGACCCATCTGCGTATTTCTGAAGAAACCTGCACACGGGGGCCGATTTCTCATCATCGTGAGTGCATTGCACCGCGAAGGTGCGGCCTTCGTCGCCTTGATCGAGCAGACTCTCGGAGAAGTAATTTCCGAATGTCGACGACCTTTGCGGATCGAAGAGCACATCGTTCCCGAACTCGCCCTGCTGGCACGCCACGCCGGGCCTGCACTTGATCCACGTCAAATCGCTGCCTGTGTCCAGCTCAAGCAGCAGCTTCTGTGCGGGGCTGCCGACGTGGATCTCCGCCCTGTACAATCCTCGTCCTTGAACAACCGGTATGGCCAGGCTGTTGCCGGTGAACCCCATGGGGTTCGGGACGCCTTCGGCATACGCAGCCTCTCTCCAGCCGAGAACTTTCTTCCGGTAAACCCCTTCGCTGTCGGTGAGGTATGCATATTTCGGAAGGTCCTCGCTTGCCACTGCCAGTCGTCTCCGATGCACCACGTCGTCCGTCAGGTTCACGCCGACCTTGAGCTTCCGGTGACACTGCTGCTGCTGTACCTCTTGCGGTCCGAGCCCATGGCCATGGTTTGCCGGTTTCAGGTCTGTGTGGGAAGTCCAGCCGTTCGCTGCAACTATGTGACCGAGGACCACTACCTGCACACAAGCGCACACGACGACTCTCGATTGCCAACGTCTCTGCATCTGCATCGGCGATTTGCTGCCTCGTCGAATCGAATCCAATCGAGACACGCATTCACAGGATGCTGGTGTGTGAACCATTTACAACGTGGACGTCTTCAATATTCTCCCGAAGTTTTCGGCCGAGCAGAGCTGGAAGTCTGCTTCTCAAGATCCTCACTCGGGATTTGGGAAGAGTGCATCGTCTCGTTGATTGAGATGATGAACATCGACGGACGGGATTTTCCTCAAGCTCGGAGAAAGATGAAGGCAACTCCTGGCGTGGGGATCGTCCGTTCTTCCTCTTTCCTTACGTCTGGCATGAGATTTGAGTCGAGGTTTGACACATCGTGCGGATTATGTGTCGATCGAAACAGGTCGGAATCAGGTCCCGGTGATAGAAACTCAAGTGCGGAACTCGATGGACTCGGCAATACCCCGAGTCGACGTCGACAGCCAAGTGCCTCGCACGGTCACGTTCTGTCATTTCGTGAAGTCATGAGAGAGCACACTAATTGTATGCAACAGAGCAGGCGCAATCCGACTCCACTGAAGGTGGCAAGCTCAGCTCCAGGCTCGTTCGTCCGGAGGAAACTAGAATGGTGGTAACAATCGCTGCGCCTCTTGAAGGCATTCCAGCTTAAAGACCGATCATGCAGAGCCGGTTGCTCGGGTGTTTGAATTTCGAGCAACGGTGCGGGGAAGCCGAACGATCCAAAGTGACGATGGACTGAACCTGGAGAGCTGCTGGAGAAGGCAATTTTCTCAACTCTCTGCAAGCACGCGTCAGTAACTTCTCCAGAAAAATCGGATTTCAAGCGCAACCGGAAACATTTGGAGGACTTTCCAACGGACGACGTTTGAATCTATCGTCCCAAGTCGGGTGCGTGGATCTTTGGGATATTATATGGTGTGCGTAGAGCGGTGATGAAGCTGGCACAGTTAGTTGGCGCTGCAGATTGGTGTGCAGATGCGCCGCAGATATCCATGTTTTTAAAGTTCTGGGGAGGTGACATTCGAGATGGCCATGGGTGGATTCATATGCATCTTCCTTGCGTTGTCAGTATGTTACCATACGTATGTATTATACATGCTCAGCTCTAATCCGATTCTATGGAGATGCGGAAATGTACTCCAGTTCTGAATCGATTATGTTCGGATTTCGACAGTTGGAAACTGTGCAGCGGATATTGTGATATGATCGTCCAATCATATCATGCGCGGGTTGACGAAGCAAACAAAACGGGGAGAAACGCCACGCCCTGAGTATATCAGAAGCGAGGTGCGGCCATGCGGTCATTGAATCCGGCAAGCGTTGAGTCGCAAAGCCATACAATGAATGGCACATATGTCAGATGCAAGGATCCAAATATATTGCTGACGAAAAGGAAAGGATGACACGATTGCAGAAGTTTGGTCGCCAGCGAGTGGGTGACCTCTTCCTAGCTCGGAGTCCCGTCTCTGCTTTTCCTCGCTATTCGACCTTTTAGATGAGCACGATCATGCACTGCTACATCAGCAGTGCAGGATGAGGTTCTCCTCTCGCAAAACCCGAGACGAAAGCCCTGCCCGCCGCAAATACATCGAGAAAGCGCAGAGACTCGATCCATGAGCGGAAAAAGTGAAAAAGAAAACGTGGGGAAAATTGTTGCGTCCCGCTATGAATCATGAACGTGTCGAACTGAATCGTAGCAGTCGCAGTCCATATAATGTAATAGAAAAGTATGAGCGGCAGCAAGTCTTGATGAAGAAGGTGAATCACATCGAAGCGCAGGCGGCAAGGGTCCCTCCACCCTGGGCAATGATAGCGAGGGTGCAGGCAGACCACCCTCGTTTGTGTTGACTATTGTATTATTAAAATCAGATAAGGATCTCGCATTCTCTTGCAGTGAGACAGTCAGAGAAACAAGCCTAAAGAAGTCTTTCATATTTCCTAAATTCATAAAGATTCATAAAGATGTCGCTGATAGGGACATTCATATTATTACCGAAGACAGCTCGAGAGCAGACGGAAGGATGTAAATCTCCGCAAGGATGTGGCATTTGAGAAGCAGATTCGGAATTGGAGTAGAACCCGCGTGGACATGACTGCGAAATATATAAACAATACTTTCCGAGACCTCATAAGTAGCAGCACTACGGGAGATCAGAGTCTACGGGTGGCCTCCACTGCAGCCACATCGCCGAACATTCTGCGATACGCATCGTCAAGACAAGCTTTGAACTCATGCGGTCGCTTACTGAGAGCGGCCTCGAAGGTTTTTGGTGTACATTTACGAGCAGTCTCCGTGGTTAGAATTTCGATATCAAATGCAGGTCGCCGAAGGAATTGTGTGCCGGTCAGCCGCTGACGTCTGGAGGGTGGCTATGTTGGAACCACGTCCCGTGATCGAAGCTCGTCTGAGATCGCCTCCTCATGCAAACAAAGGCGACTTGAATTATATTACATGGGATTGGGTCCTCGCTATGGCCATGGCCTTGATCAACGTGGACTAATCTGAGTTCTCTGCGTTGCCAGTCACTAACAAAATGCTGAGAAGGCTGAGAAAGTCACTTTTTCGCCTTGACTGCCAGTTCTTCTTCTTCTTCTTCTTCCCCTTTCTGCTTTATTCTTGCTTCTCGGGGCTGGCTGGGTGTGACAGGGATGTCTTTTCGGTTCTCAGACAAGGTCTATTCTTCGCTGCTGGTATGTGCTTACAGATGAATGGACACACGCGGCCGATTGCCAGGCTGCAATATCGCCGACTGTCAGATGCGCTCTTCCGCGCTCCCTCCCTCCCTCGCTGAGGCCAAACAGATCGACGAGGAGAATTTGGCAAGTTCGTTCGGTGCCCACAGAACTTTTGGCAATCGTCCGTGATATATATTCACACGCCACGCCCCCACACCCGTCGAGCGCCATGACTCTGAGGCTGGTTCGAGATCTGAGCTCCATCCTCGTTCACAATCATCACCATCTCCCACGAACTGGATCTCGAGCTTCCAAAACGGGACGGGCCGGTCCAACGCATCATTCCAAAAGTGGAACATTTGGCCAGCACTTCGATTCTAGGTTCCAACCGGTATCCAGGTCATCCTCTCAGGTCCCGGTCGACGTCGTTGCGTTGACGTCGTCGCTGTGTCGCGCGGTGGGCCCAGTAGGACGACCACGCCACAACTCTGCGCACAAGTGCTTCGCGCCAGCCGGTGGCCGGTTTCATGTTTCCCGGCTGCATTCCTTCTCCTCCTCTGGGGACACAAATCAGCGTCCGAGCACCGGTTGCTCTTGGTCGACACGTTATGAGCCCATCGTACTGTGGCGATGCAACTCGGTTGCGTAAGTCGGTCCGGATTATATCTCTCGATACCCAATAATACACAGTTCGGGGATTTTTCTCACGCACAGGTCTGTGAGTTCAAAGCACTTCGAATATTTTAAATGAGTCCAATATAGAAAACATCAAATCAAAAATATGAAAATCAATCTACTAGTCTAGAGATTTGTGTGTTTTGGCTGCATTGATATGGTTCGAACGCAGTCAACTGGCTCTGGAGTAAATGGAGGGCCAACCCCGCAGCAAACTTCGGCACGGCGTACGAGCTTGAACGCTGGACATAGTTGGCCTCGCTCTGAAGTGATAGAATAGCTGGACGCGGGAAACGGACTGAGTTCAGCCGAGGGCGACACGTGTTCGAAAGACTCGTCCGCAGTGGCGTAGAGTTGCTGATGAGCAGCTCTCTCGACGAGCCGACCGACGATGACGTGTCTCAATGATTGGGACGAATGCCATGCCATGCTTCCGTGGAGGCTTCTTCAGCACGCAACTTGCTGACGTGTTCTGCTGACGTCGGACCCCTGCGCGAGCTTCCGACAGTCTGGGATGAAGTGAGAATCGAGCGAAGGCTCGTGCCGCGAGACGAATTGAATGGTGAAAGTGGATGCGGCATCTCATGACGAGAATTGGATTGACGAGTAGTGCGGAGGAATTGGCTCTTTCCATAATTCATGGTGATAGCTGCCGACTTGAATGAATTCTCGGAGATGCTCTTCCGCCGGAAAATTCACGAGCGCAGGTTTTCTGGACACGCGCAGTCGGGAATTTCGTTCCCAGCATTGCGACAATTCTTGAGGGGAGGGGAGAGATTTTTGACAGATCCGAGTCTGGCATGGCATGGCATGCGCATTATTGAACGATCCACACACTGATCCAATGCATTCGCAGTGGATCAGATGGAGACTCCACCTGATCGACTGGAAACTCTGAAGATGGATCTATCGACCTCCAGAGTCAAGAGATCAGGAGCGAAACGAAAGAGAGGAAGTTGTCAGACCTAGAACCAGAAGATATTCTCACTGTTCAGACTCGAGGGATTTTCGAAGAGTGCGAAGTAGATGAGCTCACGATGGCCTCGGATCCGTAGTCTCTCGTCGAAACATCCATGCGCTGATGACACATTGTCGCGCACCGCCGTTGACATTGACCATCTCAAACGAGACACACGCGGGAAAATGTCCAGCCCTCGGAGTTGGGATCTCGAGGATCGACCCCAGCGCTTTAAAGGTAGACACAGAAGCCAAAGCATGTGCAATCCGCTGAAGATTCCCGGCGCTCGACCGACCCGGATGGCACGCAGCAGACGAAGCCCTGGCCGCCCAAGACAGAACCTCGAGCAATAAGAAACTCAATATCTTGCAATTCACCAAATTTCTTTATTCAGGCTTCTGCTCGACGTCCGGACCTAAAGTCAATCGCCCCTGCCAACTCATGGCGACATGTCCCGCGTTTGTCTTTTCTCTCTCGACTCCGAGACTTGCGTTCTTTTTTATAATAATAATTCTCGAAGCATTCACTGTAATGTTGAGCTCAGATGCCGGAGGTGGGAGCCCAGCATTTAGAGGCTCGTGTGATGGCATAGATTCTGAGGAAAAAGGGGGCGAGATGCGACCTCCACTGGAGAACTGCTCGCTCGCCAGCCTTTTGACGTCGAAAGAAGAGATCAGACAATGGCAGCAGCAGCTGCTGCTGCTGCTCTGCAAGAGCGTGGAGTAGGAGACGAAGAAGGAGAGGAGCAGCACATGGGTCGAGCTTTCTGTCTCGTCTCACCGTGTCGGCACATTATCACAGCACAGAGCTCCATTCATGCTCGCGGGCGGCTGGCACCTTGAGAAGCCCAGACGCACGAGGAACTTAGCACTGCACGCACGCACGCAGCAAATATTCGAACCAGAAATCAATTGATTACAAACCTCTGTACCGAGGCGGAATGCATGGAGCGGGCAAAGTTGGGCGGCCTGGACTCTCTCAAAACATGTGGACAACAGAGTCGACATTATGATGCACATTCTTTAAATAGTTTTCTCCCATCAGACGAGGCCCGCGTAGCCTTACTTCGTGGACGAAAGAACCCACACAAACTTCCATCGAACGACGGCCTTCCATAGCCAGAGCCAGACTATCTGGAGCAATAGTGAACGGCATATCGCTCTAAAATAGTTCCCCCAGGCTGGGCCATGGCGCTCGACCCATCTCCAAGTCTAGCTTGCTGCCTGGGAGAATGTCAAGAGCGCGACTGTGGGCCCTGGGCGAGTGGTGATTGTTCTGCCCTACGCTGGTCTGCCATGTTTGGAGGGTCGGTTGCGAATCCAACACACTCGCTCGCTGATGATGGTACGGGTCCCCAGGAAGCACGCACATCATCACGCAGAGTCCTCCGGAGTCTGCGGCCTCCGGTCCACGTTCATGCATTGACATAATTATATAAATAAAAATACGTGAAATCTACGGTCTCATTGATTTGAGCCAGCCGACTCCAACCACGGTCCCGGTCCGGGTCCAGGTCCAGGTCCAGAAACGGACACGACAAATTGATCGCTTCTTGCCCAAATGTGGTGGAGCGGACCTTCTGTCGGACGGGACCTCCATCGCAGACGGGAAAAAGTTCAACCGAGCTCGCTTTTCGGTCGTGGAGGCAGAGGCAGAGGCAGAGGTGGAGGCGGGGCCAGGGCCGCCAGCTCAGTGACCAGTCCAGTCGAGCGGTCGGAGCAGCTGGGCACAGAATTGGAAGCCCCGGCCCTGGCACCGCCCTTAGATTGCACATGGCCGTATTAAATTGCACACGGCGAGCGAAGCCTTTCAAACAGTTCTGCAGGACTCGCAGAGTACACCTCATACACGCCTCATCTTTCCCTCGTTCTCTTGGGAGGTTTTGAACATTGTGATCGGTGTCTCGGAGGGCAAGCGTGTAGTTTGGGCGACGGGGAGCTCCTCAGGGTGTTGAATAATTTGTAGCTCGACATAGCTCGTGGTCTGTTCTTGTCCGTCCGAGAGGAATTGTGAGCTCCGCCTGTGTGAGCTTCGTGCAGGCAAAATGCCGCATGATACAGCCGCTCCCGACCTCGAGAATTACTCGAATGGAGATTACCAGAAGCTGGAAGAGAAGGAGGGCGACAGGTTTCAGAGTAGTGCGAAGCCTGCTGCTTCCGGAACGCCATGCTATGTCATGCCCGTTCTGGCTCTCTCGATCATTCTCGGTGCAGTTGCTGGCCCGGTGGGTAGAATTCACAATTCTCGATTTTTGTTTTCGATTTGTCGTTCAGAATTTTGCATGTTGAGCTTCGATACAGGGGAGACGAGCGGGGACTCGATATGTACATGGGGGTTCGAGTTTCGAAGAATTTCTTGCTGACCAAGAGCTACTGAGTGTGATGGACGGATGCAGATTATGAAGAGCATGGAACAAATTGGAGCTGGACCCATCGCTGTGGCATCGTGGCGACATCAAGTATCGTCGACGATGATGCTCCCTTTCGCTGTCTTTCAGTGGTTTTCGATGCACCCGCAAGACCGCAGCTCAGCTCCGAGTTGGAGCAATTTCGGAACCATTTGTCTCTGTGCCTTGGGACTCGCTGGTCACTTCGGCCTTTGGGTACGTATGGCTCTGCACACGCTCCTTCGTCCTGGCACTGCACGCGGCGAGTCGCATGTGCGAGCTCTTGCTTATGACAATGATCGCCCAAGTGCCCGACCGAAATCAGAGTGCATGGAATAGATTACAGCTGCAGCTGCAACAATTCGCTGTCTGGCACCGAGTTCGAGGTATCGATGCTTTACAGGCATCGATTTCTCGAAATTCTGATCGTAGAAACTTTGGCTCATATCGCTGAAACAGAAGCAGACTCTCGAGGTCAGCTCTCTCAGAGCTTTCAGCGATTTGACCCATATCCAAATTCTTCACTGCCGTGATGAATTTGGATATCGGTCAAATCGCTGCCCTGCGATAGCTCCAGCTTTGTATGACCATGCAGTTCACCACAGTTTGTGGTGAACATGGAGCGCAGCTATGGGGATCGGCCTCTCGCGTTGTATGCACCATTCATGATGAGCACTGACGCGATTAGAGTGCGGGGTGGGGTGATGCGAGCTTGCGGCAAGAGCACGAGGCGATCTGATTCTTACGTGAACCGATGGGCGTGCACTGCAGATTTGGTCGCTGGACAACACGTCGCTGACGCACAGCCTGTTCCTGTGCATCATGTCTCCCATGTTCGTCACCTTGTTCACCTTCCTGCGCGACGGCACGGTGCTGTGCGCAGAGCTCGTGGGCGTGGCTCTGGGCATCGTCGGCTCCACCATCCTCGCGGCCGGAGCCAAAGTCGAGAGGGACATCGAATTCTCCATCTTGGGAGACCTGGCCGCCCTCGGCAGCGGTTGCTGCTTCGCCGTGTACCTGATGTGCGGCAAGAACCTGCGAGGTACCGTCAGTCCTCCATCGCCCCCGATGCCCCCACATTCCTCCCCTCCCCTGCTTTCTCTCTCTCTGTCTCTCGTTCCATCTCCATAGCTCTATCGGCATGCTCGTGCATTCGACCCAGTCCGTCGTCCGAGGGCAGTGCTCGACGTGCCATCTGCACACCTGAATCATTAGTGCATGGGGCCCGGCGACGATAGTATCGGAGCCCAGAATCAGTCTGGTTCGCTGCATCTCGCACAAATTTCGGGCCTGTTCAGGTCGGACCCTCTGCAAAGCGACATGCATTTATTATACATCTGCTTTTTCCGTGATGGCCGTCTCTCTCCCCTTCTGCACGACTGACACCTCTGTTTCCCTCCGGACCTGCGGTGCACAAAAGTGCTCATCTGTACAGACTCGGTCTTCATTGATCTGGTCGTGTATTGTACTTCTAGAGACACACTGTATCTCATTGTACTGAACAAAATACATCTGCCCAAGGACCACATGGTAAAAATACCACATGCCCAATTTCAGTCGATTAGCTTGACCCTAGACTGAACTTGTCAAGCTTCGAGTTCTCAGTGTTATTGGAGTGTTATTGTCGCTGAATATCTCATGCGGAGCCGAAATTTTAGGTTCTCTGTGTTCTCGAAAAGCTTCAGATGTCGGCAACGGTGACGAACAACGATAGAAGGTTTCACGTTTCTGTTACGAAAACAACAAATGTTTATGCTGACGATGCTGTGCGAATGGGTTTGGCCAATTGGTCGTAGCTTGTGGTTGTGCTTATTGCATGTACGTTGTGGACATCGACCTCAATGACAAGGTGAGGAGTTCCCACGACTTTTGCTGACGTGCAAAATGGGTGGAATTGAATGTGGGGAACAGGAAAATTGCCTCTGTTCGTTTATCTATGGCCAGTGAACGTGATCTCGATGGTGTACCTATCTATAGCACTACTGCTCTTCACTGAGGTGAAATTGCTGACAGCTTATGAGGATATCGGAATCTTTTCATGGATGACAGAAGGTATAGCTCGTCTTTCATTCAACATAGATTTCACCCGCATAGTGTTGGAGAAACTAACTTGCAGGTCGACTGGAGATGTCGATTCTCTGTTGCGCGTTGTTCAAATGTGCTCAAGTTAACTCAACTGTTTCCTTCATGTATTCTGTGTCTCTCTTCTGCAACGTGACCACGACCATGAACGATCTAGAGACTGGTTACTGAATTGGAGATTATCTGCGCTGTGCAGGTTACGTGATCAAGACGTTGATTCTGGGACTGGGTCCTGGTTTCTTCAGTCACGTTGGTTACAACACAACGCTGGGATATGTCAAGCCGCTCATTGTGTCCGTGGGGTTCTCGGTGTCTCCTGTCGTGGGCTCATTCATAGGCTGGGCTATGCATGAAACTGGCGTCCCCGGGTATGCTCAATGCTCTCTGTCCACTTCAATCCACTGGTTGTCAGATCACGTTGTTCAAGTCCATGCTCCATCTGAGCTTCTTCGTTCGCAGGCTACTGACTTGCTTTGGGGGGATCGTGACCATGGCAGCAACCGTATGGGTGAGCCATGCCAGTAGTCAAGAGGTGTGTGACCAATCTACTCAATCTCATCGTAAGCTTGTAAAATGCTCCAGTGAGAGCGCCCATGGCATTCTTGGTTTTCATATCCTAACTATCACCAGTTGATGTAGTGACACCACGTGGGGCACATGTGTGCTTGTTCAGGTGAAGAAACCCGAAGAGACGAGCCAAAGCTTACCAGATGAAAAGCGTCCTCTTACACAAGAGGATGAGCCATAAATAAGAACCGCAGCGAACTAGACTGTATGGTCTAATCTCCCCCTCCCTATTTGAGACTTTCAGGATGCACGGATGATTGTGAATTTTGGTTGTGCAATCTATTCATCTCTGAATGCACACGATATCGTTTTGTCATCTAGCAATACAGTGTGTAGTAGTAGCAAGCGATCCTAGTCGGCTTGGTATCACGAGTCTGAATCATTTGCTTCCAAGCAGAGGATGGAGCAATTGTAATGCAACCGCGATCATGTCTCCACTGGCCGGTTGAAATGTGCTGTGAACCAGAAAAGGACGGTTGCATTCACTGTGATGATAATGGTGAAATTGTGCGTGCAGGTATCGACTCTCCCGATAGAGAGCTTGTTTCATAAGCTCGAATTGCAGCGAAATCGATGGCAACGTGGAAAAATACGTCACATGGCTTCAGGAATTCGGATGTCACCTTTTCTCGAGACTCTGCAAGCAGCTTGCCTCGTGCCTCGGCCACCTATTCGCCATGCCATCGTCACGATTTCAGACTATAGCCAGAGACGCCGATGGAATCCATTATTCAATCTGTACATTAGATTAATCTTTACTCATCTGTAATTAATTTTGATAATATATCAAAATTGTAGATTTTCTATTTTTGGAAACGAAATAAAAAACACATGACATATATTTCTACATTTGCTTTTGTGTGTGAGTTCATCTCATTAATTAATCCAGTCACAATAAAAAAAATAGGTAAACTTGTTACATATTTCAAAAATAGATATGTATGAATAGTAACTTAAAACTAATATGTTCAAGTAATTTTCATACTACTAAAAATACTGAAATATTTCGTATTGATAAAGGAATAACATGAAAACAGTAGAATAATTTTATCAATGAGGAAAAAATATATTTTTTATTATAATATGCCGCAACCATATGGAATAGATTACAATTCTATGTGATTGAACTATACAAGTATTATAATGCGAATTTAAACAAAAATCTACACTATCTTGTTACCAACTTTTAATTTATCAAAATAAGTTGGGTATTAAATAGCGTATGCAAATTTAATATAACTCACAATATTTTGCAATATCAGTAATAACATGGAAATAATATGGATACGAAATTTATTGATGGAAATAAATTTAGTAAAAATGCATCAAACAATATTCAGTTGTATACAAACTCGTAGGTTTTGTTTTGCTTCACTCGATTAAAAAGAAGGAAACAAAAAGCATAGAGAAAAAAAAACCCAATAGATATTTCTGCTTTGATCCACAAAATTGAAAACTGACAATAAAGAGAAAAACGAAACAGAAACCTATTACAGTGATGAAAAGAAAAGGCTACAATAGAATAAGAATCACCTAGAATAAGAAGATAACATTATCAAATAGTCTTTAAGATATAAATAACATTAGCACATGAATGATTTATAGTCTAACTCGTTGATCACCTAGAACGTCCATCATCTTTTGCTACATGTAGATTATTGCAACAATTATTGCTCTCTGGAAATAATAGATAAATAAAATACCAAAAAATGTCACACAACTTGCTAAAGATAGTGATATTCATGTTTAAGTGGATTTCATGTTAGATGGAGTTGAGATTAGTCTATATTTACCATTGTGAGCTTCTCAAGGTTGTGTCGATATCTTTATATAACCCCATGGCTGCAGAAAGAAATAAATACCCCTTGGTTCTCGAAAATTTGATTGCTGTCATTTCATTTGTCCATCCACTAATCTATGACCATGTGTTTCAAAACTATGTTGTATCTATGATATGTAATCATAACGTCAACTCTGTATAAAATTCTAGTATTAGAGGAGCAAAGATCTCGCTACTATACATATCTTTATTATTATTATTATATAGTCCACATTTGTAAGTAATCACTCGTTTCAAAACTAATCAATTTCAAATTAATAACCTAAACAACAATTTGATACTCTCATATAAAGTATATGTAGCTCATTATTCGATTCTACTGCAATGCATGTAAAAGTTTAACATGCGTGTGGATGGATACTTCTAACCTAAAATCTGAGTGAATCTATGTTACATCCCGTTTACTACAATTTACAACTAGTGGACAAACCCGGATGATAATTTTGGAGTTTTGGAAAAGAATTTCGCAACTATGAAGCGGGTGGTGTGAAGTAGCCAAGGTTGTATCTCTTCATGTTCCATTGTAATGTGCCTCAAAATGTAATCTTTCTGGAATTTATCAACATCTGTTTTGCGTTTTCTCCTGAATCTATCGAGAGGCATCGATCTTTGCTTCAGGCTGCAAATGATCGAGAGCGTCCATAAAGTTGTTTAAGTGCAGACCAGACATAAACTAGTTGAGAATATAAGAGCTGCAAATTACACGTCCAATCTGCATCCAAAACGATTGTGCTGGATCATACGAGTCGCATCAACGTTGGCTCGTCTATATTGGAATCCACCCATGAATGAACTTGCTGTCGTTCACCGGTGGATTACATGGAACTGAATCGAGATTTAATCATCATTGAGAGAAATTTAGTTTCGTGGAGGGTAGAGAAGAAATCTGATGATGAGCGAGCGGTTCCTGAGATCGAAGTATGACTCTACGAATATCTCCCTCCAATACGCGATGCAAATGCAAATGGGAAGAGAGAATTGTGAGCTGATATCGAGGATTAAGGAACGGGAATCCTTCATGATTTGTTCATGCGATTCACTATCATTAGAAATGGTTGTCCACTCAAATTGAAGTAGTAAATCTCAACAACTTACACAAAAGAGAAATAGTCCTGGTGGAGAAGTCGGTGCTGACGTCGTTGGCACGCAGTCACAACGATTCTTCCTGTAATCTCTCGAACGATCCTTCCCTGAGGAACGGACATACGTACATCACACGGAGGAGGACGAGGAGGGGAGGGAACGAGCTTCTTCACTCGATCAGATACTTCGAAGAGCGAATTGGGAACTGAACAGCCGGAGCTTGGATTGTGTGCGCCAGCTTTAGGTATTACGGCATCCGTCTGGGAGATTTGTTGGACGTAGTGAGCGATCGTTCAGTGACGCAGGTCGGGAAGATTTCTCCTCCTACTTGAGGACGGAAGGTTTGGAGGTTTTGACTGGAAGAATGGAAGTGGAAAATACGAGTGGAGGAGGAGGGCAGGATTTGATGGAGCTGGAAGCAGGGTGCGTCGCCAGGGAGCGAACGAGAAGATTCGATGATAGCAGCGCCGCCCTTGCGGAGAAACTGTTGCAAGGATGGACCTTGCTCAACGAACACTGCCCTCAGTGCTTGACTCCTCTCGTCCGCAACAGGTGCGTAAGCTCCTTCGAATTTTCCCTTTCTTCCATTTTCTTTCTTCCGATTTTCTGAATTCGCACTCTGTAGTGCGAGTTTCTTCCAAAACTGTGCATAAATGTGGATTCTCATCCTTATTATCAAAAGTGGCACCATTATGCCCGTCAGAGGAATGAATAAGAAGCCTAAGATGCTGAATTTTTAAAAAACTGCACAATTGACGATATCAAATTCAATTCGATTTTTGTTCTGGCACTGGTGACGCTTAAATGATTCATGCCAAGCGATTCCTCCCCTAAGTTCGGGCTCTGGTTGTTCCTGTTCGTGAAGAATCGTGATTTCAGATGTATATGAATCGTTCTGTGGCATGAAGTGGTGCAGAAAATGTGGTTGAATTGTGTCTGGTCTTGGTGCGTGTTCTGCAAATGTCTTCGTCCCATTGGATTGCCGTTGAAGTTCAGCTTGTTACTTTGCAGGCAGAAGCAAGTATACTGTGCAGTATGTAAGCAGTGGGTTTTGAGTGAGGCAGAAGCTGCGGCTAAAGCTCTGCAACAGAGAGTCGATCGGACAGAGGCAGCTGAACAAGCTCTTACGGCAAGCTCTGCGCAACAGCTGAGTACGACTCCGAGTGTTACCTCTGGAAACCAAGGTCCACCATCTCCAGGACACCGAAGCAACGGGAAGGGCAATGCAGTGAACCTTTCGAGATTATCACTCTCCAACTTAAGATCGGAAGATGAGAAGGTGCAAGAGGGAAGAAATCCAAAGAGATTTGCCTCATCAGAACCTGGTAACGATGGTACAGCTAGAACAGTGATGGTTGATGGGAAGGAGAACGGAACTAGTCGTCCGGGTATTACTGCCGGCTCATTTCAAGCCCCTGATGCAGGTCATGCAACTTCTCCATCGTTGCAGTCGAAGCCTGCTTTAGCTCTTCAACCGGTGAGCTACTGTTTCTACACCTTTAACCATTTTCGTGCTGTGACCAGGAGTCCATTTCTTCTCAGTCGAAAATCTCCTCGGTAGAAGGCCACAAAGTGCAGTTTGTCAAACCTGGCAGTACTCATCACAAAGCAATTCTTTTTTTCCATTTTGCAGGCAGAGAAACCATTTCTTCTCGGTGAACGGAGGGTTGCAAACAATACTTTGTCGACCTTGAACGAAAAACTAGAGGTAATCTGGACTTGACTTTACTCGATCTGTGAGTCCTCAACTCGCCAGTGATGGAGACAGTCCCTTGAACCAATGTATACCTTCTTTGCGTTATTGAATTTATTGGGCTACATGACTAACAAGTCAGATATTTTTGTTGCATAACAGAGCATTCAACAGCTGATTCACGTCACACAGGATGTGAACGAGTTGAGACAGGTAATTCCCTCTTTGATTTCTCAAGAAACGCTTACAACTTGCTGTCTGCAGGATCAAATGTGGATCTTACATTCCAAGTTTCAAGATTCTTATTTAAGTTAGGATTCAGATTAGTCTCCGTGACGTGAATATATTTTACGATGGGATTGACAAAGGGAGCATATCCTTTCAAACCTAGGTCTTAAACCCTGCTGTTTGAACATCTGCTAGCACCGCTCAGCCAGGCACGGGTTCCTTGGATTATGACAGGCACGTATATATGAATCAGAGTCCTGCATTGGCCTTGAAAACTGTACCCATACCCAACCCACAGCTGCGCTTGGGTGAATTGTATCCAACCATTACCCACCCATGGCACCTTGTTCATACCCATTACCCACCCATAGAACCTTGTCCATACCCAACTCATACCCATCAGTCCATCACCAAAATACAGTGTAGACCACAATCTTCTGCTTTCCTCCACTTCGATCTACAAGCGGCACTCATTTGGTTATCCGTAAAGCATGTGTTTACAAAAAGATTTTTCATTCAGTATATGTATTAGACTTTTCTGCAGGTTTATGACAAAGTAATAGCTAATCAGCACACTGAGCTGATTTGCTATCAGCGTGGCGCAATCCGAGAGCTCAGTCATTTAACTCAGTCGTTTTAAAGACCGGCTCCATCATACCCATCCCTTACCCACCCATTGTGCCATGGGTATGGGTGGATATTGGGTACCCATTGCAGTACTCTGAAATGAATATAACTTTTGATATCTGCTTTCGTATCAAGCACGGTTCTTTTCTCCCTTTAATTCGGCTGCTCTTCGTCACTTCCTCTTCGTACCAGCTCTTTGTTGTTCTAGAGGAGTGCATCCATGCCATCGAGATCACCAGAAATCACGCGAAGAGTGCGGAGTAAGAGGAACTCCACAATTTCAGCTCCAGGTATCTTGCTGTCGTCGGAGGTTGGACTCTCTTGTGCTCCTCACTTTTCGTACATCTAACTCTATCTAGGTCAAGAAGTTGCGACCTTCAGTCACACTTTTGGCATGAATGTTGCATTCTGATCCTCTGAGGCCGTCAGCGAAGCAGATGAAAGAGACGAAGTATATCGAGGGTAAGCTCTTGACAGGGTTTTTCACTCCTCGTACCATTCAAAGGGAATCGATTTGATCCTTGGCTCCAAGAGCACCGGCCATTCGACGCAGAGGTTATGATTGTCACGTAATATCTGTCGAACATGTCATAGCATAGGAGGTGCGTGGAGATATTACTTACAATCTTGTGTCAATCGTTGACAACAAGCTGGCCACGTTGTAGATTAAATTACTGAGTTGCGTGTTATCGATGGTTTAAGCCTCATATTTTTGGCTTGCATCACTGGACTTCTTTGTGTAGCGGGTCACTACTGCGGGTTAGAATGGAACTGCAGAGCACGAAGTGTTGTTTTACTTCTCGACTTTGCTCGGTGAAGAGAGGCATCTGATTTATTAAAGGGGCTCATCTCTATTTTCTGAAAAGAAATCGCGAAATATCAAAGTTAGGCAAGGGTTACAGATGTATATGTGTTGTCTTCACCTCTCATGCGGAGCTCTCCTGAAGCATGGGGAATGAGGCTCAAAGCCTTCCTGTTACTAATTTCTTCAACCATTCTGTGCGAAAGATTTGTGAACTTTGGCCCTGCCACAGGTTTCAACTTACGGGGTTTCTTCCTGTCACTCTTGCAGCGTGACAGGAAGAAATATGTTCAATGAATCTTTACCGTTCATCATCTGTTCACAATGAATTCATTATTACCAGTTCCGAAGTTGCTAAGCTGGGTGTAGAAATTTTTTCTGCAAGTGTCTTTTCTTGAAAATTTCCTATACGAAAGCACCTCTGACGACAATGAAAGTCCAGCTTATTTCGGTTTCGATGAATACTCCTACTGCCAGAATCGAAATTAACAAGTAGTAACTTCCTGCGCAAGTTACACAATGTCCATTCCCTTTTATTGAGAAGTGTCGAGCCGTCTAATTCACTTCTCGGTTTAAAACAGCCCACTGGAGATTGTTATCGAGTATGGAGTACAATCTTGGAACGACGAGACTTCATGACTCTAAAGATGCACACCTTTCTCTGCAAGTATTGGAGCAAAGGGGTGACGAGAGAATTCTAAGCATGGCCTTGAACGGGCCAGAGTGCCACTCAAACGAGCATCATTCCAGTTCAGACAGGACTGCCATGAGCATAAATGTAGACTATGAACTACATCGATGCACCGACATCACCCACATGGTTTCGGTGTGAAGTAGTCAACATTTCTCTGGAGACCGACCCGCCTCGCTGTGCGTTATGAGCACTCGTGATAACAGACAGATGAAAGAGCATCAGAGAATATCATGTTAGTCTTGAAAAACACGCAGTTCATATTGTCTCAAGTCTACGACCGTCCTTATGGCGGAATGTGATGTGATCAATTCAATTCGCCGAAGAAGTGAAAGTTCCCACGGAATCGAAATGACGAATGAGTGACGGAAACCTCACCAAGCAAGGTCCTATGATGAAACCTTCAGCTTCGCTAATGGGGTCAAACAAAACTCCATTCTTGACTTTGAGGCTTCTTAACAGTTAATCGGACCGACGTAGTACCACTTGGAATTCATAGGCATCATCAATGTGCCACAAGAAACAAAAACGCAGCTCGACATTCAAGCTTACATATGTTAATCTAGGTTACACAGTTCAATCATGCCTGGGTTTTGAGCCCATTTTCTACACGAGCAACGACTCATCTTGTAAGGGGATGAAGGGACAAGCGTATCAGAATGGAACCCGTTTGAGTTTCTTTGTACTACTGCGAATCAACCCTTCAGCCAATCCACCTGCCGATTCATACGGGTCATCAGATTGCTGAAATTGCTCTCAGCAAGAGGAGGTGTGTTTATACCTCTTGCTGTGGGCAATTTTGGCAGGAGCATGGATGTGCATTATTGCCCAGGTTAAGAAGATTCAGACCATCTGCATCTTTTACAGAAGAAAGGAACGAGCACTTTACACTTTACAACAGAATCTCATGTCAGGACTGGGGTAGCAGTCACTCGCCATTTCAAATTGCTGAAGATTGTAAACCCTATGGCACATGAACACCAGCAAGAATGAGGCCGAAGGTTGCTATGTTTCGTAGATAGGAAAGAGGCGAGGTAAAGCAACGGTGCAAGCATCACAACTGGTCCTAATGTAAAGAGGTCAATCATCATCATGTCCAATGATTACCATTAAAAAATTAACCGGCCTGACTCTCAGAACCACCTGACTGTCACTCCAAAAGTCTGACCTGAGTCTAAACGTGACAAAAATGCTTAGACAATAATAAAATACAATATTCAAGCAGAATGGTGGATGCATCAAAAGCTATGCACTCATGGATAAAACTGTCAACGTGAATTGAGACAGAAATCCGATGACAGAATTTCAAACTCCTTGTGTCTAACCCAAACACTCTGGAAATGGACATCTTGGAACACCATCGAGATCAGGGAGGGAGCTCGAGGAAGAATATTTAAAGATTCCCCGATCTCAGAAGCTCAACAGTTTGTCATTCAGCGGTATTCTGGAAAATTTGGGATGAATTATGCCCTCGAGCATGTGATAGATGTGACTGTGATCCGATTATGGAGAAATATATGTACCATTAATGTATGATTTCTCAAATCATTGCGGACATCTTAAATTCTGCATATCTGCCAGCTCCACTCATTCCATGTTCAGGAAGGCAATAAAAAAATTTAGGTGTAAACTCTCGGTCCATCTGCTATCACCAAAGCGAGAAGAGAGAGAGAGGATCAGTCATCACTCTCTGTACCAGTCACCAAAGGGGCCAGGCCAATCTGCCACAGGACAGCGGGAGAAAGCTCTGAACCCTGCAATTCCCTGAGGCGATAGGCAGCTCTACACCTCAGTCCAGCATGGAGTCCATCATTACTCGGGGCTTTAATTAGCACCTCAACGCCCGCCACCGTTAATCAAGTTACGAGATTTGGTCATGATTAGCAATTTGGCCTTCAATTATCTGGATCCAAGTTACCGATGCCTCTTCATGGCGCTGGAGACACATGCACTCTCTGCAGCCCTCGTTGCCCGCCTCGCAGACTTTACTATTCTCGCAAGCAAATGTACTCTCGGGCTCGGAATCGTCAGTAGATTCTCAGAGGGGATGAGTGGAATTAGTATGTCGCCAGTCAGTCGGCCAGTCGGCCATGGTGCGCATCATCGGCATTAGGTTTGACGGTAGAATCCCCCGAGTCCCGCCATGACATGCAAGTTTGCGCGACGAGAGCCGTGCGATGCGTTCCCGACACACTTGAGAATTGAGAATTGTCGCTCATCGCCCGTCGTCCATCGTCCATCGGGCATAATGTTTCGCCAGGCTCCGGCGTGCGGTATACAAATTTACTCCTGTCACATGAAGGCGCCTGTCAGGACTCCAGTGTGAGGAGTGAGGTCCATGTGATGGGTCGCCCCACCCCGTCGCTGCAAGAACCCAGACCTGCTTACATTACATCTCATCTCATCCACTCACCGCCGCATCCATCGACATCTGGATCGTCTGGAAACGCATGGTGCTCGGTTTGGCAAGCAAGGCCCGATTGCGAGACATTTTTTCCATCTCTTAATCACAGCTCGTGCTCAGCCTCTAGGATCGATAGTACATATCAGCATCGTATGCTTGGCGGTTGGAATCGATTTCGGCGGAGCACATATCTTATTACTGATCGATGGGATGCCTGCCACAAGAATCAAATGTAACGTTAGTATGTATGAATTGTAATCAATTGAAGCATAGAGAATTTGGATGGCAATTCTTTGAGGGCGACAAGAAGCAAACTCTCTAGGGTTTCTATCTTAGAAGAGCACGCTCAGTGTGTGCCAAACAAAATGTGTGGCTTTAATGATCTTGGCTTTTCTTCCCAATGAGACTGGCCCCGGTATAGTGCGTCAAATTGTTGTTGTGCTTGGATTGAAGGGCAAAGTTCTGTTGTTTAAAGTGACAAAATTTTCCATCGCTGTAAGACCTGTGGAATTTTACCGCCAAGAACCAAACTTTTATTGTTGACGCCGATTTGCTATGGACGCCAGATTCAGTGAAGTGCGTATTTTAGACCGATGCGGACAATGAGTGCTCAGAGAATTGAACTGGGAGCGTGATATATGATAGTGTCCAGCGACAAGGATGGCTCGTTCAGCTCTTGCATCAACCATTGAACCATGGCTCTCTTCTCTTCTCAGTCATAAGATCAATCAATCATTCAATCCTTTCATTCTCGTGGACGACTTGATGGCGTCTTGCCATCCTTTTGGCCACATTACACGCTCCTCGTCGAAATGATGCATTTGGGATTATGAACATGCTGTGATGAAATGGGTACAGCATACGATACGCTCTCGAGCGTCATTGTTAGAGTCTCAGCACATCTGCCACTTGTCTCTCGCTGTACTTGGTGATTTTTATGTACCTGCAAATAATTTACGCATGTACCAAAACCAAGTTCATAGTGTAATAATCGATCTGTATTAATTTTCCAGCTTGGACTTGGAGCCTTGAGAATCCTCGGTTACTTAACTGCTAACGCTTAACGGATCAAGCCCCCTAATAAAGCCAACTGGCTTTTATAGGTTTTAGTATGCTTGGAAGATATAATCACACACCCACTTGGGCAGGCAGTAAGTAGAATGTTATGGTGAGACATACACCCTTTTATTGTTTTGGTTACTACTTCAGTCACTTACACTCACTCTCTATACTTACATTTTCATAACACTTTAATAGAGAATATTTTTCTAATTATTTTCTAATTGTTTAAATCAGGGTTTGATCAGAGGCAGTAGAACAGGTTACTACAGACCAGAATAGACTACTTCTAAAACTTTCAATGACAAAATTGCACCAGAAGATTACATTCTATGGGGCAGTATAGTTGGGGGTAAGTGGGTTGGGCATAAGGCAGGTAGGAAGAATTTTATGGTGAAGGTTATACTATTACCATGGTGGTCACCCTCCCTACTGAACCAGTGCAAAATACTGAAACTTCATGACTCTGCTGTATTTTGCCCTGCCATAGACACGAGAAGTGTCAATGGCTGCATTGCAATCCAGCAATGTACAAACGAAGTCGAATTCTTGGCAGCAAGTTCCACAAATTAGAGAGTTTTATAAGTCCTTAATACCAAAAGGTTATGATATGTTGCAAAAGGATTAAGAGCTTATAGGGCAATCCTGCAATCTTACTTTTTTTCACATAAGTCAATAAGATTCAAGTGACACTCAGCCATAACATATTTGTTAGAAGTTAATGCAAGTCTTAATTTAATTCAGGTTAGGTTAACTTCAATAAGTTAAGTAAGTAAGACTTTCACTATTTAAGCTCTCATAAAGTTTTCATAAAACTCTCAATTACTCTCCTTCAGTGTTTTCTATGAATTAAGTTTGAAGTGTTGCCGTGGACATAGCCCGTAGTGATGAACCAGGTATTTTTCAATGTGTGAGTTTTGTTGTGCGCCATTCTGTGTGTAAGTATCTCTCGTTTGAGTTGGAGTTTTCTGTGACAACATTCAGTCTTTTGCCAAAGCTCCCTATAGAGACAGATCATAAATTGATCAGGACAACAAAAGTAGAAACTCATGATCTCTATACCAAGTTTCATTTTGCACCATAAAATACAACTAGCGTTTCCTGCAACACCTTTCAATGTTCATTACTTTGATTCAATCGGTATAAGAAATAATCATAAATCCTACTATCACAATGAATATTAAAATCGTATTCTTATAATGAGAATGCTATAGTTTGAGTCATCCAAATTTGTTTATATTTTCATTCTAAGATTATTGTTTCAAAATAGTGTAAGATAATGTCCAACAAAAAAAGGAGAAATATATGAAAATTTAATCATCATTTTACTTCACTTCATCCGTCCGATTTTCTGGGTTAAATTATATTCCACTTTTTAAAAAGAAATTGCAGTAAAACCGTGAACTCGATAATGTGTGTAGCAATTATTTTAGTTTCGAGAATTTTAATTTCCTTGCACTGCATGTGTTTCAAATCAGTATGATAAGGTCGATCAGATTGTTACATATTTTTGTAGGGAACGATCAGATACGCGTGTTTTACTTCAGAATTTCATAGACGTCTGATGACGATGATGGTCACCACAAATCTCCATAAGGTCCATCCGAACATGGCTTTCAAGATACAATCTTCATATGATTCGTAATCCAAATATATTCTCAAATGGGAGAGAGCAGAATTGGTACCGGCCGTGTAACGGAATGTTTGCGTCTGTCCTGCGGGGGGCGAGAGAGGCCAGAAAAGCCACGAACCATATCAGGCCTCGAGACAGCCGAGAACGGTCGTTCGGCCCAGGGGGGAAGAATTGGTGCCAGCGGTGGTTCACGTCAAACGAAGCCCGTCGTGTTCAGTTGAACCGTCAACAACCTGGCCTCCTCCGCTGTACCCGCCCGACCGCCCGGCCACACGGATTTGGCCGTACCGCTAAAATAACCGAGCCCTTCGCACCGAGATGCACGCCTGGGACGCTCTAGCGACGCCTCCGCCAACCGTAGTCATAACTACGGGAGGCGGGAAGACACGCGGCGGGCCCGGTGGGCGGGCGTGCGGGCATTATAATGGGACGGTCGCGAAATAAAGGTCGCGGGGTCGGAGGTTGTTGTTGGTGGAGGAGCATGAGTCCTCCATCGTGGGACCGTCCCGACCCCGCCCCGCCCCGCCCCGCCCCGCCTCTGGATTCCGTCACCGTAACCGTCGATTCTCAGGAGAGTAAAGCGCGTCGGCCCCCGAACCGGGGGCCTAGGCTCGAAGGTTTGGTAGATCGCCGGACCTCCGATCCGACTATCCTCGCGCGCGCCCGCTGGTTCGGGAGGATCCACTTGCCTCGGGACAACTCGCTTGAGATACGCTGGTGCGCGGTTACCGGAGGGAGGCTCTCACTCATTCGGCTCCCGGTGGATGTCAGAAGCGGCAGCAGGCGGTGCTGGAAAGTCCAAACTTGGGGTCAAAGCGATCACCGTCGTGGCCGATTGCGTAATTTTAGCTCCGTTTCTGCCAGTCAGTTCGCGAGGTGCTGGGAACTGGGAACCGGGGAACCGGGGAACCGGAAAGCCCTCGCAGTTTGGAAGACCCTCTTTCTCTGCCAGAGAGCACTTTTCCGCCCAAGGCTTCGGGACATGGAAGCAAGTGGTGCGATGGGAATATTCGATGAGAATCTATTCAGGGGGGACGACGGAGTCAGACGAGCGATGAGAAGGGTGGGGGGGGGACTAATTTGACAGCCGGGCGCAGCATGCGAGATGCGGTTGGAGGGCGAATTGCAAGCGGCGACGGGGGAGAAATGCGGCGCCGATTAAAGAAAAGGAAATCGCTAGCAGACAGAAAGAGAGAGATGTGCAAAGTGCGATTCTTGGGGCGCAGTTGAAGGAGCGGAGCACGAGGCCGCAGTCCCTCGCTCGCCAGTGGAGGCAGTCAGGCAGGCAGGCAGGGAGACCAGAGAACGCAACGAGAGAGAGAGAGAGAGAGGGTCTGTAGCACCTGAGCTCGCTCTCGTCTGTTGGGGGTGTGCGGCTCTCGCCGTTCCCCCTTCTCTCGCTACTTTCGGTGCCGGTGGTGCCCCCTTGTTTTGGCCTATTGGGCCTGGAGAAGGAAGCCTGACGACAAGGTGCCCATTTTTGTTTAGAGTAAGAAACCTGCGCCAAGGACGGGAGAGAGACAGAGAGAGAGAGAGAGGGAGGGAGGGAGGGAGGACGGACGAGGGGGCTGGGCTGGGCTGGTCTCCCAGTTCATGTCTGTCATTCGTTCATTCCTTCGCTCTCGTTGGCTCGGCAGATCCAATCCAATCACAGCTCGCAGGAGCAGAGGTTATCGTTAATTTCACGCTCGTATGTATTAATGAGAAGCCCGCGGAGATCGAACGGGGAGGCGAGCGCAAGATTTCCAAAGGCTTAGACTCTGAGAGAGAGAGAGAGAGAGAGAGAGAGTTTGGGTCCGTCCGGAGGATTGGCAATTATTAGGACGGGGATTGAATTCCTGTAGCAATGTGGTAGAGGAAGGAAGGACGTGCATGAAGGTCGTTGGACGGATGAATTGAGGCTTTCCCGGAGGGAGTTCAGGGCCTGGGGTGGGGGAATCTGGAGCCTGGAGAAGAGAAGAGAAGAGAAGAGAGGAGAGGAGAGGGGAGAGAGATTATTTCGGTCGAGAAAGAAGGCAGACGGAGAAGGAGGAAGAGGAGGAAGCGGTGGAGGAGGAGGAGGTGGTGATGGTGGTGGCGGTGAAGTGAGCAGAAGTGTCGTACCTGCGAGGGAGGAGGTTGGGCTAGTGATTGCGCTTTTGGCGAGAGCAGAGGCACGGAGGCAGGCTTAGTCAGTCAGGTCGCACTGTGCGGGCTGTGGGGAGAAGAAGCAGTGGCCTTTAAGAGGGACGAAGGCGGAAGGATCCGGCTTGCTTGCACGTCATATCGGCAGAGCCGAACAAGTCACGGTTCGCATTCGTGCCGTGGAGTGAAACATTCCCCTGTAGAAGAAGGCAAGGCAAGGCAAGGCAAGGCACTGGAGGGCCACAGCACACAAGGTGGTGTTGTATGTAGTTGTATGTAGTAGTAGTAGTAGTAGTAGTAGTAGTAGAAGTTGCGAGGAGCAGCAGCGAGCGAGGCCTCGCGAGGGGAGTGGTGCCGAGGGCTGCTGCCGAGGCGGGCAGAGCAGAGCCGAGATTTTTCTCGCTCTCGCTTCGCAGACACAGCAGGTCACCGCGCTCTCCCTGCGCTCGCTCTCTCGTTCTTCTGAGCGGAAAGACGTGTGTTTTCTTCTTCATCATCTCCTCCTCCTGGTCGCCGCCCCTCGTCGTCTCCATTCTATATTCAGCAATCCTGTCATCATCCATATCTCCACGCTTCCACCTCCGAGCCATGATTTATTTATCCTAATCCCGTCGCCCCGCCACCGCCACCCCCACCCCCGCTCATGTGAATACTAGCGACCGACCCAGTCCATCCCATCGCGTGTGTCCGTGCAGTCGATTGCCAATCGATTTCCGCCTGTAATTGCGTCGCGCTTGTTGCCATCCCATTGTCTGTTCTTGGAGAGTGCTCTTCCTGAATCGTCCCCCATTTCTGTGTGGCATTTTTGTCAACCCTTGTACAGGCCGGTCAGTCGATTTTATTATTATCATCCCCGCTTGGATTCGCCAAGCACGAGCCGTATTCAAGATCTCACCTTCCGGTTCTGAAATCTCTCCGACATCTGTTGGTAATCTGTTATCTGTCGAATAGTCAGGTTTTCTCGCCCGCCAGGGTGTCAGACAGGCTTCTGAGCTTTCTCCTCCCTTTTCTCCTCTGCGGCACTGGCCTGTACGTCAACACTGTTCTTTAGGTCGCCTGCCTGCCTCGCTCCCGAGTCTGTTCCGCTTACCTGCCCTCCAATTCCCCGATCGTGCTCGCGAGAGAGCCACTGTCCGACCATCTCCTGCCTGCTTGCTTGCTTGCCTATCGAGAGGTGCATCGTGTTGGCTTTTGTGATCTATTGGGTTCGGGCGCAGATGCGCTCGTCCGTTCCGGAAATTGAAGAATCAGTCGAGAATTATATGTGTACACTGTGTCTGGCTTTAGTGTGTGTCTGAGAAAAGCCCAGCCATTTTCGAGAAAGGCACATTTTGCGCCACGGTGGTCGTTCTCGCGTGCGTCACCTGACCTGCAGCAGAGCAGCCTTTCGAGAGTTTTGCAATCCAATCCGCTGGCGACCATTCAACACTCCACGGGTCCTTCTCTGCATCTGGACACCACCCATGCCCGAGGTTTGAGCCGGAGCCGTGCGCGGATTCGACCCATTCTTTCGACGAGCGTCGGAGTAGCGTTAGGTTTGGCGTCGTTGCTTCTCACCGCCTTCCGCATCTCGTTGCTGCTCAGCCTGCCTCACCATCTGTTCACGTCCCGCTACCTGATTCCTATCGTGTTCGTGGTCCTGGTCGTGTGCTACTTGAGCCGATTCCTCGTCGCCATTGCATGCCGTGCGGTGGGCCGGCGGCCGTTTTCTTCCGTCGTGCAAGAGTCGTACGGCAAGAATGAAATGAGCTTCTTCTCAGCTTGGCTCGCCATCGTGACCTCCGAATTGCTGTTCGAAATCTTCAAGGGCGAGACCCTGTTGAGATCCTTCAGCAGCATGTTTCTGAAGAGAAGATGCGTCAAGAAAATCGAGAATGTGGAGGAGAGGCGCGAAACCTCCATCCTGGATCTTCCCGAGCTCGTCATCGAAGGAGTGCTCAGCAAGCTCTCGGCTGCTTCGCTCTGTCAGGCGTCCGGGGTCTGCAGGGAGTTCCGCGTCCGCTGCAGCAGCGATCACTTGTGGAAGGCCTTGTTCCACGAGAAGTGGGGCAAGCTGGCGGGTCCGGCAGCTTACCGCGAATGGCAGAAGACTCTGGCTCTGAGGAACGAGGCATGCTCGGGCGGCGAGAGGAATTCGAAAGTTTGGGTGTGGCCGCTGTCTTGCCTCTGGCCTTTCTCATGGTTCAATTCGCAAGGGGAGACCGGCAAGGGTCCTGCAGCAGCCCCGCAGGAATCGCTCATGGCCTGGTACTTGGCATTGGAGAGCGGCAGCTTGTGGTTCCCTGCTCAAATCTACAACCGCGAGGTTGGTCTTTAGGTTTCTCATTCCAAGGATCTGGCAGCATGCATCGTTCTGTGTATATGTGATCCAGAAATTCTCCTGTTTCCTCCCTTCGTTCCAATCTTCGTCTTTCAACTGTTGTGAATTCCACTTTCTCGATTGGCATCCATCGTCATCTAATCGTTGGCCGTCGGCAATTTCCTCCCATATTTGCAACATCATGAGCATTGTGAAGAAGCACCCCAGTGAAATGACATTTTTATCTGTTTACAATTTTGGGTAGCAGAATGGGCACGTCGGCTTCATGTTATCATGCTACGATGCGGAAGTTAGTTATGATCGAGCCACAGACACTTTCCGGGCCAGGTACAAGCTCGTCTTCTCTTTCACCCTGCATACATCTTAGCTATGGCCATTTCAAACGCAGCCGACCAAAACTAGGGATCATGGTCTGGGCCGTTCTGTTACGAGAAGTGCAAAGTCAGGAGGGAATACTTTTGACTTTGGCGGGATCAGAGATTTGCTCGGTCATGATGAAAATTTACGTCTGGACATGCAGGTATCCCCCTCATGGTCCCCGAACCATAGTTGTGGAGGACAGTGTACCTTGGTCACGATTGCGCTCTCCTCCTATCGATACCTCAGCCCATGAACTCCATGTATCAGATTGTTTAGAGGAGCTGAGGCCTGGAGACCATGTTGAAGTGCAGTGGCGCAGAAATAAAGAATTCCCCTACGGTAAGAAGCGATCGGTTGATTGGTGTGTATTATTTTATCCGATTTCAAGGGACTCTTACTCATTGCTTTTGGGTGTCTGATCTTTTGGGTGCCTATATTCGAGAATTAAAGCGTGACGTGTCAAACCTTACATACGTGCACATGTTTTGTATAATAGGTTGGTGGTACGGTGTTGTGGGGCATGTGGAGAATTGTTCTCGGGTGACGCGGCGTTGCCGATGCCATCTAGAAGGTAAGAGGATAAAACCTTGGATCACTGGAACGTCGTCATTCTCTCCTGTTTTGACTAACCTGTTGAATTCTGAACAAAATCTGGAAAGCAATTGAAATCTCTGGTCTGTAAGAGATCAGAGTCTCATAGTCATAGACCACAGAAGGCACATGGACCTCAGCCTCCGGACTTTTTTCTCGTTGTTCGAACAATTGGCAGATTTTGTCTCGAGCTGAGGTGCTCAAATTGTGGATGGTCGTGCAGATACCGTGTGGCTAGAGTTTAACCAATATACGGTAGGTTCAAGATGGCGACAGGCAGCAGTCGATCGTAAAAGTCATCGCGAGGAGGGAAATGAAGCCGAAGGTTTCTACGGCGGGGTTCGGAAGCTCCGGACTAAGGAGGAAATAAACATCTGGACAAAGTTGTGGCCTACACAGGCCTTGGAGTAGGACGTACATAATTTCTCTCTTGGAGTTTGCGCAAGTATAGAGCACGTACCCCTTGTTGCAGTGGGGAAGCGAAGGACCCTGTTGAAGAAACACGGCATGTTCAGGGGAGTTAGATCATTGAACTGACATCTCTATTCTTTTTAGTCTAGTTCACCCCTCTCGGGTGGTGTTTCAGGAAGATTTCTGTCAGGTTAGTAAAGGCGGTAGTGTGGGAATGTTCCCGCATTGCCGTCTAGTATTTAATGCCGATGGCTCCAAAGGAATTGAAGTATCTTACAATTCGGCGAAAATTGGTCGAAGCTGCCTCCTCATCAGGCAAGACTGATTATTGTGTACAAATATTCGGTGTGAGGGAAATGTCAGCGAACCGGGAACTTGCAACTTTTTCCAGAGCGAAGCTACGCTCCAAAGGCACAGATGGTTGATCGGCCTCGGGTGGGGATAGGTGGAGCAACATTACCTTAGACTCTTTAGTATTTAGGACTGGAGGAAAAGCCGCGCCAGCTGCCTCCCCCACTCATGTTACATCCATTGCCTTAATCATTGAGTTCAAGTTTGTCGCTGGCAACGTGATGATTGTACAGTCGAGAGCCGAAGCGATTTGTTCTTTCAGTTTAGGGTAAATGAAAGACGTGGACAAGACCTTATGTGGAAAATTTTCGCTTTATGACGTAATCATGCTTTTAAATCTTGCAACTGACAATTATCTCCACAAATATTTTGTTCTTTATAGACCTCTCTGTTTCCTCAGTCATGATATACTTCCACGTAGGAATGTTCCACGCAAGGCTGTTGAATGGGGATCGCTGGAGCAGCCACTGTGAACGTGAGCAGGAAGGAGATCCACATCAGTTCCCAGGCTGTTTTTTACGTGGCGATACTGTCGAGGGATGATATGCATCAAGCGGAATTCCTACGAGCTGTTACGAGGAACATGAGAGGTGTCCAAAGTCTAAAAAACGTCCTCTTACTCGTATTGAGTTCTCCACTAGTTCTGCCCAGCAGCAACAGACGCACGGGACGTTTCTTAGCTTTAATCGACATCACTCATTTGACCACTCGCTGATTTCTGACTTCACTCAGCCTACTAGCGTATTGACGAATGATACTGAACGCAACACATTTGTTTTCGGAGATGTGTCGAGTCGATCGAAGCAAGTAGTCGTTTAGGAAGCACTCTGGGACCCGAAGTCTCAAAAGTCGATCTGAAGCGAACTCGGGCGTTTTCAAAAGCACTGACCCCACGCCTTTCGCGTGGATGTGTGTACAGTTGAGAATTTCCGAGTTGATGGCCACAGTACAGCACGAAGACCAGCTGCGAAGTGCGGTGATCCCGAAGCCGACGTCATTGCCGTCGTCACAAGGCGATCTGCTACACATCGAGACCGGGTCAATAAATGCTCCACTCCAACGTCAGACGTAAGCAATACACAGATCGTTCCGGCGTATGGCGTGCACCACTAAGTGAATTGCAGTGAACCCAATTTCTCGTGTGAATGAGCGAGCCCACATCGTGCTGGTATTTCCACGAAGGGAGAAGTTACTCATCACGCCACAGAAACCTTCTCATCAATTCTGTATTCCTGGCAGTCGTTATTATATTGTGGACCGTTATGGTGATGTCACCGCAATCTACCACAGAACATCGTGAGGCTTCCTGAAGCTGGAGATGACTTCTCTGCCCCTCCCCGACACCCGGAATACGTAAGCCCGCTGCATCTTCCGATTAGTTTCTTGACGTGGATCCAGTCTGAAACACCGTCGCAGTAAAAGAGTGCATAGCCAGAGTTTAGGGGTTTAGGTGTTTTGAGAACGTCACTACTCCCTCGAAGGGCATTTTCGTTGTCTGGTAACTTTGTTTATCCTAAAAGATAAACAAACAGACGAAGAAAATGGGGACTTTCCTGATGGGAGTAACAGATCAACTTATCATTACCTGAAACTTGGATTCACTCAGAAAACATTCACCAAATTCTGTTGAGTGATTTTTCAAAATTCAGAATGAATTTGGAAAAATCATAAGGGCAGATAAATACTCTGACTGAGTTCAATCCTATGTAGAATCTAGTCCTATGACAGCGTGAGCAGATGATATAAGAAGTTCGTTGAATTTTACTTTACTCGTCATCTTAAAGGGAAGAAGATAACATGGAGTTTCAGGATAGAGACATAAAGTAGTGGACAGGGGCTTTCTAGTCATAGCAGGGCGTTCAGATCATTAGCAATTTCCGAAAAAACCCCAGGAGGAAAGAATACGACACCCACGACAGAGACTTCTGTCACATCATCATTTCACGTATTAAAACTCGATCCTCCTCAGACAATCTTCAACAGCTTACATCGACACCCTCTAACGCTGCACACACACAAACATACAGAGCCAGAACAGGAATTGTGATTCTATTCGATAGCTATTCTATTCGCCAGGATTCGGAGCGATGCTTCGTACCTCCGGCGGGATCCGCAAAAGATTCGCCCATCGCGCACGATGCTGCGATTTTGTGTGGAGGCCTGAGCTGAAGAAAAAAACTCGATGGAACATCGCGTACACTCAGATTTGTGAGGTGAACATAGACCGTACGTAGTGCATGGTGAACCATGCGCAGTAGCCAGGGGACGACTGCCCCACGGATGACGTCGCCGTAATGGAGAATAAAAGCTGTACCGCGACCGTACTTACTACAGTAGTTGCGGTTTCGTACGTATTCCACCAGCTGACTGAGTCTCGTGTCGGCCACTATGTGCCCAATCTGTCCGTTCGTCCGTTCGTACCGTATGTGTACGTTGGACCCTCATACGCCTGCTCTGCGAGCCAGAACATGTCACTCTGCCAAATGTTTGGACTCTTATAGCCTGTAGCGTACACTCTTATGACAAGAGTTCCTTCACGGGAAAGCAAAATTTGTTGACCCCCATTATGATTAAAAAATCGTATTATCATGATCATGGTTCCAACCAACTTAATCGCAAAATTTATCACGCGAGCAGATGCGATCTGTAAAATCCGAGATGTAAAATGCTTCAACACTTCAGAAGGGAAGGGTTTATGGTCAGATCTTGTATTGTTATTCTCCTCCTCAGCTGGCGTCATGAAAGCGTGGCAGTGGCCTGGTTTTATCTGTTCGGGTATAGTGATATTTTGAATTTTGATGCGGGTTAATGGGACCACCAAATATTCAGATACTAAATCTTCAAAAGTCTGACTGATTGATCATCGATGGAGAATACGGTGCCCTTTCAGCTCAGAATGAGACCGGTGACCGGACTGGCCGTTCACCGGGCCCAAAGAACAATGGTCTCAGCTTCCTCTTTTGGTTCACAGTAATTTGTCCAACTCGTTGAAGCCTTTTCCTTCAATGTACCCCAAGATTCAAAATCTTTTCGTTCCCAACTTGCTTTTCATTTTCTCTTACTGTAATAACTTTCTAGAAATCTGTATCGCTAGGTTTTCCGTTATCTAAACTACTTCGACTCTTCGTTTTCGAGAAGTATAGTCAACTCCACAAATATCAGTTAAAACTTTAAAAGGCGTATTGGTATGATACTTCCAAAAACAAATTTGAAATAGACTGTTCGGGTTGGTTTATAATAAATTTTCATGTCATATTGTCATCGAGAACCTCCCCTCGCGGAACTCACAGTAACTTTGGAGGCGATTGTAGCAATGCTAGGGATTACAATAAGTAATATAAGTAATCTAACTTTGGATACCATCAACCCGTCTGGTTGGTGTAGTTGGTCATCACGCTAGTCTCACACACTAGAGGTCCGCGGTTCGAGCCCGCGATCAGACATGCCTCTTTTTGCTTTTGGTCTTCCTCTATTGCGAGTGTATTTGGGCACGACTTTAGTTTAGAGGTTACACCTCAAACCTACCTTCTCCACTTCTACTTCGACTCTTTTATTATTTATAAAAGGTTGTTGATATCACAACCTTTCGATGATACTTCTCTGATTGCACCCACTGCATTCAAAGCATGTTTTCCGCACTAATTGCATTTTTCTTGAGAACTTCTTCAGCTGTGTGCCATTTTGTCGTAACGGTTGAATGTCGTCCATCTGTGCTGATGATCCGGAACTGCAGAGTGCATGAGAATCGTCAATTTATTGCGTGGGCAGGAGAGTTATGGACGTGTGGGAATTTTGAAATGTCCTTCTATATCTCAAAATCTCTCAGGGTTATGCAAACGTACCGATGATCACTTGATCCTGAATTTGCTACTAGCAGCATGCTTAGAGCAATGTGTGCTATATTAATCCGCATATGATCAATAAGCGCATAGCCAACATCACGATGATGGGAGCGAGTGACATAAAAACTATGGCGATAACCATGAAACCAAGAGGTGAGGGAGGGGACAGATCCAAACTGCGAGTACTCCACCTAAGATATGTGAATTAAGAATATCAATTGGTCATCTGTTATTGGAATTTTCGAACACCATCACCTACCACGATTCGTGTATAAAGGGTTAGATACAATTATCAATTACATTATTCTACGATATACAATAAAGAATGTGACATCTCATATTACATAGTATGGTAGACTGTGCTCTCTCACTATCTCATAAACAAACTTGTCAATGTCTGCATATATAGATCCATGAAATTCTAAAGCAAGATTAAGAGAGAACATCTCCTCATGCGTCTACAACTGGAAATCTTGGATGACCCATGAAGATGGAAGTCTACCAATTTGAAGTTTTCTAACATTTTGATGATGTAATCATAACTTCAGCATCAATAATAATATAGTACTCAAGAATCAAGTCTAGATAGAAACACAAAGTCGGTTGCAAATACATTGGTGGTCTGAGACCACTGGTCTCATGCCATAACAAACATCACATACCTGCTGATGGAATCATTAGTTATCTTTTGCTCTCCACATGATGAACAATAAGAAAAGTGCATATACGGAATATAAAGAATGTTTAAAGCTACCAAGAAAACTTCTTGTCATGTTGAAAATTTAGATGGAAGTTGTCCAATCTAGTTGATAATATCATAGAAAAAAGAAGATAGATCTTGTGATGCATTTATAGAAAAAGTGTAAATTATTTCTCTCCCCAAACATCTCAAGTATGATGTTCATTTCCTAACAATAATGAAAGATGGATAAGCATCAAGAGTATTTCTAAGGTGATATCATAAAGATGTATATTTAGGTAACATTATAAAGAGTACAGTGTAATCTTCATATATTGTGGGAGTTATGAGTCTTTATATCATGGTGGAAAGAATATCCATTAGCTTGTATACTTGCTTCAAGGACAGTGTAAAGAAGTAAACTGAGAATCCAACCAAGACATGGTTGGATGTTACAAGCAGCTTGTGTAGCTCTTATATAATTTCTACATGACTTACAATCTAGCATAGTTATAATAAAAATTGAAATAATCTCATGAAAACCTTTGAATACTATACACGTGCAACTGACTTTTCTTCCACTATAGTCCAATTCCTTTTCCAAAATCTTAAAACTTACTTCACATTTCTAGCACATCCTTCTTAATATAGCCTAGACATCAGGAGAGAAAAAAAACCCTGCTTATCCCCACGTTGTTTCAGGGGTCAATCAATCAAAAGCTGATCTAGTCTCGTCACCAAGTGCGTATGTAAAACTACTCTATATTGTCCCCCATGGAACAACTAGAATAAAAATGATCTTAAATAAAGCTCTAGATGATACTTGACTATAATGCTTACAAGCAATAAAGATGTAGCAGGTCTGATACTAACATGAGAGATTTTTATGTGGTTGTGCACCTCGCATAAGACGTGCATGTCAAGTGATTCAACACATTAACCTTTCCTTTGTGAGATAAACTCAGTGACACATCAAAATTTCCGTATCTTGCATTGTTCTGAATTTAACCACGACATACTTTTCCTTTTCCTTTGGACTCTTATACATGCAACTGCAATGTGGAATAATGTCTTGCTGAATAGTTATTTAGTCCAACTTTTACGAGAAAAAATTTGAAGTGTGAGAAATATTTCTTTCTCGTAAGTTTGACATTTCGCTTGGAACCATACAAAATCTGATATTTTTCAGAAAGTGTGATTGGAACAACAACACGTGCTTAGATTGTTTGCAAACACATACATGAGTTACTCTACGATACAGACCAGAAAAACACGCCACTTGGTAAGAATCAGATTCAGTATAATCAAACAGACTAACGGTGGGAAAAATAAGAGGAAAATCTAGATTAATGTTCTCTCGAGAGATAGACCACATCCTTTCTTGGACCCCAAAAAGATGCCAGAAAATTAGCATTTGGACTGTACTTCAACTGGCACAAAATGCCAACTTCCTGGTGTTTCTAGTGAGCTTGGATTTGTTTGGATTCTGTGGGTCAGGGCTCATACGGAATGGACACGCGTTGCGGATTTGCTCTTGGATAGAATACGAGATATGATCAGAGACGAGGCTGCAACCATTGGAAAATTGAATGATGTACAGATGGTACACTCCATAGCTCCATAGAATCATAGCTCGACGTAAGGACAGGGGGGCCCATCATTCGATCTCTCGCCAACGAGAACAAAATATAACTCTCGTATCGACATATTATTTGATTTCAGTACAATCATATCGCTTGCTGTCCTTGCGCCCTGGTTTTGGTTTGACCTCAGCTGCAGTGCTCAAACTCGGTCTAGAAACTCGTCGAGTGCTCGCTGGGGGCTGCAAACCTCTTGATTTGTGAAATAGAAAAAATTGAAAAAGCCACGAAAACTGGTCACATGAGCTACGAGCACTCAATTGCCCTAGCTGGAATGTCTTCTCCCGTACACTCGACCAATGATGGTCCCAGTGCTTATCCAAAAGTTCGTTCTTCCCTTGCTGCCTCTTCTTCTTCACGATTCTCTCAACCAGGCACACGAGGATTGCCTGAAGAAAAATGTGTTTTGACTTGAGCCTTTTCTTCTCGATAGGAAGAACAGGGTTCCAGTAAAGCATGTTAAACTCGAAGCTCGTTCACTAGAGGGATGAGGGTGTTAATCTGAGCCGAGGTAACATTTGTTGCAGGCAGTGGATGTTCAAAGGACATGTCGGGACTGCTTAAGGTTGGCGTCAGCGAGCCTGCCTGCATGCACGCAGTGACTCATTCTCTCCTCGCAAGGACTCACTGCAGCTCTGATGAGCTACAGAAGCTTCAGATAGAGTAATCATTCATTGCCCTGCAGTACAATTCTCCACGACAATTTGTTTCCTGACATTCCGACTTACAACAAGGACACAGTGGTGTACCTCACCATCTCGCAAATGAATAAGGCATGGCACCGACCGTTCTCAGCACCCTGTTAAAAACGGCACTGCCACTTTGCTGATACCAAATTCAGGTCCCAGATTATTTATCCAATTCATTCCTCCATGCCACAGGTCCGTGGAGTTGCCCCGATTGACACCTTCACCCTTGTTATTACCTCTCTATTGCTTCAAAGAATCTCTGTAGTTCCCGCGTGCAATGAAACTTTGATCTCGGAGTGCAGTGGATGGAATTGCCGTGCCACTCGCGCTCTGAATTTCCTACTCTCAGCGCTCGAAGAAATTACCGGCCTCCCGAAAGGTTTCCTGACCGACAATTTTGCATCGGAGACTAGAAATTTATAGATTCGGGCTCCTCGTCTGGAAAAAGGATGCGAATCTTGCACTGCAGATGTACTGGAATGCTCTATTCCCTTGTCACCTAGTGGATCTGGCAACTTATGTTGTGTACAACGCACTTGCCCTGGGAATGCACTGAATGTCATGATACGCTAAAAACAAAAATCAGCAGCTCCGGATTCGGTACCGACACGGACATCAAGCGGACCCTGATTGATTTATTGTTGACCTTCAGTCTAGACTCCTGTCAACATTTTGTCGATGCTCGACTGTTGGAACGATTTGCTTACCAGCCGCTCGGAGCTCCTGGGCCCATGGCGAGACACAGGACAAGCTAGGACCGGGTGAGAGTCACGCCCACCCAGCTTTTGTATCAATCCTGCTGATTTGCCATGTACGTGCTGTTTTGGCACGAATCTGATTGTACCTGGAATCGAGCATAGTGTTATTAGTAGCGTCACGACCTACGTTGAGCATCGGATCGGAAGGAGCAGAAGTGTCCTTCCTTCGTGCACGATTTCACTTCTGCTACTACTATTACCTGCCTCCATCGCCCGAGCTACCATGCTCTCGTGTTGCTGTAAATGAGCAGCCACGGGACTCGAAAGACCTCAGTTACTTGGGCCTCGAGGTCCGAGGTCTTGCTTAGCACCGATGAGTAAAGCTCATCCGCTGTGCAACATGGAGATGAATCGTTCACCCGCATGTTGGGATGCGGACATGCGATCAGAAGCTTTCTGAGACGAGGGAGATTTTATCTACAAAGAATCTGGATCAGCAGGGGAGGCTCGGCCTGCTACGGACATGCGCGTGGCGGGCGAGCTAGCTGAACAGGCCCTACCGAATGGAGTCACTCGGGGAGAAGCATCACCTGATGTATGTGTTGCCCGGCATCAAGAAGAACCAGCGTCCAGTGTCAGGGCGTCTTTTGCAGGTGCACAGTCGAAAGCGCACAATCGAGTGTCCCATTCAAGTCGGTTCATGCTTTGCACAGGCCCCAATCGAGCGACGGGGCTGCAAGTTTGCATCACCGTACATCATAAAGCTTCGAGCAGCCAATGGAGAGTTGCATCGGCTTCGACTCTGGAATCCTGCTGCTGCTGAGATCGTTCACCTGTGTACCTCCGATCAGCACAAGCAGAGCAGCCCGGTAGGAGCCCAAGCTGCCAGTCACTCGCACTCTCACTCTCGTCGGCCAAGCACGTGAGAGGTTCACAGTCTAATCTACCGCTGTCTGTCGTTTGTCGAGCATCAGGATCCGAGAAGCTCACACACATGTGCTGGAGTTTGAGTACAGTATTCGAAAGCACGATAACTGTAAGTGAGTGCCTATGGCCAAGAACAGCGTCGTAGTTTTCTGACTGAGCTGGGCCCGAGGATGGTGGTACCCAAGTCGTAGGTGGTGCAGCATTCATGAATCCAGCGCTGTTGTACTCTCCGTGCAAAGGTAAACGGCATATCAAATAATGGATTCAAGCTTCGCCTGTTCACAGACCTCGCTCCGGCAATGAATGTGTCGAGAGGATCTGGGAATTATGAGGTCTGAACGTGAAGACAAGCATTGATGGGGAGACAAGATAGTCCAGCAACAGTTTGACAGGTGCTTTGCTTTGGCACTGTGGGACTCCAGGTCCTCGATGAGAGGCAAGAATTTGTCTGTTCACCATCACGCGAACACCTGACGATTGCCAACTGGGCTCGTTCTCTGCAGTTCCTTCGTTGTGAAACTCCTCGTGCGAGCCACTCATACACTCTCCTCATTGACTCGGACGATGCTCCCACTGTAGAGCTTACGGCATCATTGCCTCCGACACTTCCCTGTGCGTCGTTTATTGGCCACACTTCCAGACGCATCCTGTTCTTCGGTTCAACTTGCTGCGATCGGTTTGAAAGTTGTCAGCCTTGATCATTTCAATTTTGATCGATCAAATTTTCAGGCTTCTCGCACATTCCTCAGGACAACTGCTGGCAGTGTCTCGTCACTCTATACTGAGAGCTGAGCTGCTAGCGTCCCGCTGGAAGTGGGACTCTCGCTATCTCGTGTAGTGCTTTCACCACCCATTTATCCGACCTACACTTCTTCATCGAAGACTCGTCCCTCCATTCGAAAGGGCTGCGTCGCTATTGATCGTAACAACCTATATCAAAGGAAGTTGTTCAAATTGCTAAAGTGTGTATAAAGCAGTACTTTCAATGCGTATCAGCTTTCCAAATGTCTCGTGTTGGTTCGCAAAGCAGGAAATCGGGCGATACCCAGCGACTCACACTCCGATTATTTTTATGTACTTCATCCCGTTTCAATCACCGTGGAAAGTATCTCCCTCGATTCTGCGGTAGCTTGGATACAAAATATTTATTTCCACTTTATATCCTCACGAGGGCATGTTCCCAAGAAGCCGCTACTGCTATACACCAATCATTGGAAGCAAGGACATTTGCCCCTTCGGTTTCATCTTGGCGACTTGATGGGATCTTCCAATCCTTTTAGCTGTATTACTTAGCGACTTGATGGGATCTTCCAATCCTTTTAGCTGTATTACTTAGTTCCCATTTTGGCTCAAAAAGTAGTTATCCAGCTTGAAACTTTATTCTTGTAAAAGATACGCCTGCTAAAATACCTCATGAATGAAATGGTCGTTGATAACCTCTTTGTTTTATTGTAGGTTGCGAGCTTTACAGAGGAGAACAAATTGTCGTGATAACCCAAACTCTGGAAGAAGAGAAGTCCCAAAACTGCTCAACCAGCAGTGGCTAGAATTGTTTCTGCAGGAACACCTTCAAGATATTCTAGACAGGTGGAAGTGTAAGTTTCCTGCTTACTTGGTCACGGACGAAACACAAGTTTCTGGAAAAGGCGAAAGAAAGTGCCGACGTAGACCAGCCCAGTTATCGCAACCGGAGGCTACTCTGACGATACATCAATGACTTCTTGAAGAACACGATCATACATCAGCAACAAAATCACTAGGGCTCGCCACCAAGCTCCACTCGAAGGTTGTCATATGGATACTCTCTTGGAGTCTGCACATTTTTTACAAACAGATTTGAAATTGTTGAGTGAAACACTGCACAACGATCACGGTAGTCGTGTACTCGTTGGAACTATTATGAAGCCCAATATTTACTATTTACTAAAAGTCCATGCATGTGGTTCCTTGCACAAACGAGAAGTACCCGTCTTCTCCAACCACTAATTATCAAACAGCTCAAGACCTTCTCACTACATTTACTTTTCATCCAGCGAAATATAGCAGGCGACACGTGAACAAGCTACAGGATAGAGATCTTGTACCCATGGGATTGTCGACGCCTTGTCGTTCCACTTTGCCAGAAATCCAACGAAAGCAAAAAATCCCAAGCCCGCGGAGAGCATTGCGAGGCCCTCGTACTGCAAGAAAAGGCATCTGTGTTAAATGATTCTTTTCCACAGTAAATTCTACGTTTTAGAACACTATTACACATAGAACATCGACATAATTACAACACAGTTCGACTAGGAGATATCTCTTAAACCATTATTGGTTAAGCTCGGCTCAAAACGCCTCAGAAGCTAGAGCAGATATTTGATAAAATGACGAAGAGTGAGTCCAGTAATTATGTAGGTCCTGTTATACATCTCTTCAAAGAAAGATAAAGTACAAAATACCCGAAGAGAAGCATGTTTCTTGCTTTTATGGAGTGTCTTCAGTATAAATTAAGTAGTAAATCATTTAACAGCAGGGGCTTCGCATGCAATGAACCGTCTAGTACAGTATTTTTAGTATATATTCTGATGAAAACAGAAGTGAGAATCAGAAACCAGAACATTTCTTGAAGACTTATTTGCGAAAGAGAAAAAATCTGTGGCATGCGATTTATCCTTGAGCAAATATTTAAAAATGTTTATGTACAAAAAACGGCATGTAGGAACGAGAGAAGAGAAAAATACTTTCCTCATAGCAAGGTGAAGAAACTTAAAACACTTCAAGATAGTAGAGATCTATCAACGTTCCAGGCATAATACAACAAGAAAAGGAGCACGGGGCTTTTGACCAAGGGAAACCCTGAAGGCATGCGTAAACAAACAGCACACAGATAGTAGTCATGATGTTATCAACTGCATATCGTCTACTATCTGATGTTGATGATTTCCACCAAGTTATTTATTTGAAAAAATGATTTATGATTTTCGATTCATTTAAATTATTTCCACCGTTCAATCAAGTGTGTTATGTTCAACCATGGCACACTTGTGCGTCATGTAGAACTCATTTCATTCTGTCCATCTGCAAGTATAATTCTTGTCGAGATGCTCGATTATCTGTAGGACCTTCTTGGGAGTCAAACCATTCAGTATTCCCTTTAATAAGTGAGACAATATCTCATACTATCTTAGCTACTTACAACCATCCAACCAGCGTTCCTCGTGCAATCTCACTATATCAGTCCACTAAAAAGTCTCCACTCTTGAATAAACTCCTTGAAGTGTTGAGTTCAAACTTTCACCTCTAATTTTTACAGAGATTCAAGGGCACATAACCACTGAAGCTCGATAGAGCTTCGTAGAGGGCCTGTTAAAATTAGCGTAAAACAGAAGCGAGAGGAAGAATGAGAGAACATCTTTTTCTACTAAACAAAGCAATGCTCTTGTTACTGGACCCTGTCCCATTGAATGACTCGATCTTCAGCAAGTCAATTTATTTTCATGAACTAAGAGATCAGATCACCCTAGTTTACAGCAACTTGTGAGGGTAGGCAGAGTTTATTGTGCTCATAACAACTGGTCAAATTCTGGTATCGGCAGACGTACCTTTCCGACCATAGGAGCTACGGAATCCAAACAAGGCTCCGGGCAAGGACTTCCATCATCCCAGATCAGCTCCTCGGACTCATCAAGCTGGAAGCATTGAGAACACAAATCAGCTGACATTGATACTGATTCTATCAACTGAAAAGTCGCAGGTACATCATCAAGCTACAACTTCACAGAACGACTGCTTGACGAGGATTCGATAAAGACCAACTGTTTCGCACAACTGCAGCAATGGCATGAAAATAAGAAAAGAAACATGCTTCATGCGACACTAAGTAGCCCATACTAAACTCTCTACACTGAAGAAACTTCCGACATCATTCTCCGCTAGTTTTATTGCTTATTCCAATTTCTCTAAAAAAACTAAACCGCAAAGAACTTGCATTTAGTTTAATCTGACACTCCTGGTTTTAGAAGGGTGATTACCACTCAGGACCTAGATTTGCTGAATGAAAGCAAACGGGGAGCCATATTCAAGGGACATCATGAAGTAAACTTTCATTGATTACGTGAGTAGATAACGCGAGAAAATTCCAATGCCTCGTTTAGAGTTAAGTTAAGAATTTCTTTGATTCGTGGAAAGTAGCGGCCGGTACTCATTTCAGAGAAATTATTCGGCATCCATCGATCTCGTCCGTCCAAAATTCTGTACATCCTCAACCCCGGAGTCCCCACCAACTTCCAAAAATTACTGATTCTTGCCCCAAAGAATGAAAAACCTCCAGATCTCTCGAATTTCTCAATGCCAGCCCCACGTCCACAGAATCCCCCTCTCCGATTGCAAAAACAGTGAACGATTCACGAGGTCGCCATCAATTGTACACAGATCCACGAACTGGGTAAATCCAGAGACCAAGCAGGCTCACAAAATTCAGAAAAAGTGGATCGCTCACCTCCGCAGTGGGGGCAGGAACGGTGCCGACGGGGAGCCCGGCGCCTCCACGAGCACGACTCGCAGCAGCGAGTTGCGACTGAGCTCCAGCTCTTCTAATCAAACCAGTGAAAGCCCTAGAGACGCTCAAGCTGTTCGCTGCCATTTTGCTCGCTACAGCCAATCTCTCAACCTGGATGAACCACAATCAATCCACTCGATCGAATCAATCAGCTGCTCTCTGTCTTCTTCACTCCTCTGTCATCCCTCTCCTCCCTTCCTCTCTCTCCCCCTCTCTGCGCGATTGTGTTTCCTCGTGGCAATTTGCTCCTAGGGTTCCTTTGGGCGTGCTTCCTTTCCGCGTTTCGGGGGCCCCTGTCGCCAATTTCTTCGAGTCCTGCGACTCCCAACGTCTTCGTCCAAATGCGAATAGGCAGGTGCCATAACCCACCGGGGGTCCTAATACTCGTTCCGAAGCAAAGTACAGAAGTGAGCATCCTCTGATTTATTTCCTCTACTGGAACGTATCCACAAAATTGGAAATTTTGCGGGCCATTTCGAGATTGCTTTTTGTAATTATGTTGGGATTTCTATCTATGTTACATTCGATATCACATCAATATTATGGTTGCAATCTTCGGAGAGTGTTGACTGCAAAGTGCGTTGCTTGAATGGTTTTTTCTTCCGGCTCTAATTCAGAACATAGCTCTGTCCTCTTCAACTTCTGTGTCCTATTTTAATCTCATTTGGTCTCGACAAGTTCGTATTTCTGTTGAATGACATTTTCTTCGCATTTGGAAATTTTCCAAATCTCGTTATTTCTTTGAAACATTTTCTGTCTTATTTTTTAACTCCTAAACAACATCGTTTCATTTCATCTACTTGTTTCTGTAAAATGTTTGGGTAAAGATCATAATTTATTCTATTTATTTAAGGATAAACTTGATAGAAATATCATTATGATTTTTTTGCAACTACACATTGCAACTGACCATTTTTCGTGATACTTTTGCTGAAGAGTCCATGCTTGTATATTGATTGCTTCATAACACCATGAATGAGGATTAACGTGGACTCCAAAAAGCGTGACCCCAGTCTTCCAAGACCATCATTTCTCAGAGCTCCATCTCGTTCTTGTTCAAGTATGATTCATGGTCATGACCCAACTTCATTAGAGTTGAATCATAGGCATCAGCAAGATGAAGGTTGCCGATGTCAAAGACCTTCCTGCAAGCACATCATCAAAATATTATACGTCTTGTGAAAATATGAACATAAGTATCACGCCATCCTTGAAAAAGTGGGTCGTGAACGTTATTAGCAGTGGCATAAAACTTGAAGAAGAAAAAAATGAGAATCATATTGCATCTAGTATTGAATATTTATCGCCCCTCCAATAACATTATCTGGAGTCAAATGGGCGATTGAATGCACAGTCTTCAATGCCAACGCCTTCTCCTTTGCCCTTTCTATATTTCAAGGCTTGCAAAATCCATGGAGTCACAATTCAATGCACTTGACTCTTCTTTTTCCTGTCTTCGTTATGGCAACCACGCGCACTCTTTCATGGTTTCACGCATTTTTTCTCCTGTAAAAAACTCTATCATTTTTTGACACATTCTCAAAATAATCTCACTTCACTTGTAGCAGCAACGACTGAACTTTAGAAAGCAACATGTCTCTCGCCATAGCCATCGGACAAGCCCGACGTTGATTGACTATGATGAGCATAAGATATGCGCCGAGTGCTACAAAGCTTCATGCCACCTTTCCACTATCCTCCTCGTCCGAACCTCCACGTTTTTATACCATTTGTTATTCTAAATCACGAGGAAAGTAGAAAATGCACAAACATGCACGCCCACACTGAAATAGGTGATTTATTTCCACGGGCTAAATCCAAGGGAACACCTCCGGTTATGTTGCAAGCAAAACCTTAAAATGTTGCCAAGAACTTTCATGAGCTTTTGTATATAATGGCAGTATTGTAGAGTTTAACTATTCAGGATTTACCTAAACCTGAAGTTAGCTAACATAAATTACAAAAAAATTTGAGTTAACTCCTAACAAGATCAACTGAAATATTGAATTGATATCTGATTTGACTCCTGACACAACTTGTAACACATGTTCTATATTTATTATTTAACTTAAATGCCAATAAAAAATTATATTTTTTTTATTATGATAAATGAACTTAAATTTATTTTCATCATAAAATTACCTGTATAAATCACATTCAATTCCTTTCAAAAAAATAAGATACTTGTTATTGGTTTCAAAAATAATTTTGTGTAACTGCATACTGATTTGAGATTGTATGTGATATCAGAGCTATTTTTTGATATCTTAAATAAATAAATATGGATTATTCATTCAAAAGAGATTTTTAAAGATCAATTTTTCTTTCTCATAAGTCTAATACGTCATGATAATAACTTTAAAAAAAATTGAACTCGTTAAAAAATTTGATCAAATTTTAATTTATTATTAGATCATATATTACATATCAGTTTCATAATGTTATACTAAGATCTTTCATATATATTTTAACCCACGAGACAAAATATGTTTATATCTTTATTTATTTAAATATTTTTTAGCTCAAAACATCGCAAACTCAGCTATCATAATGCTTTTTAATGAAAAAAACAAATTTTCCTATCATACTCTCATTGTTTATAATTTTTTAGAAAAAAAACTTGAAGATAAAATAACAACAATAATAGTTTCAAAAGCACATTTTTGTTGTAAATTTCAAGAAAAATACAATCATATTACTGATTGACTACAAAAATTTGTAAATTAATCCAGGCTACATGTTTAAGATGTGTCAAAACTGCATCATCTACATCTCATTTTAATTTTTCTAAACTACATACATAGTATCAATAACAATTGAACAATGCTAGTTAATGTGTTATACTCATTAGCTTGTAATATATCTTCAACTTGATGAATCGGATTGATCATAAAATTTCACAAACTTATGTGCTGATTAATAAAAAATATAATCAGATTTTTCATGAATAATTAAGATAAATAACACATGCAAGTCTCAATTAGAATTTAACAATCTGACTATAAAAAGTCGGTTTATCTTGATTTTCACAAAAATTTAACATAGTTTCAAGGTGAATGGGCTTTTATTTTAATCCAATCAACTATTTGACACATACATCTTGCAAATTTATTTATTTTTTATGGAAAAAAACATGATTTATGTTTTTCTTTGAGAAAGTATATTGTGGATTGTCAAAAAAAACCTATGGAAGATTTATATGTAAGAGTTAAAAATTTATTTTCAAATATGTCAACAATCCACAATATCGAAGAAAATTTTCAAAAAATCATCACATATGATGTAAATATAATATGAATATGTGCAATCTTATTTCATTTTACTCTGAAAACTTAATTTCTTTTTATAGAGCATTCTGTACTTACTGGTCTCAAATATACAGATAAAATGCAGTCCATAACGTATCACTCTATAAGCAAAATCATAAACTTCGTGATCTCTCACAGTTCAAACGAGAACTATAGAAACCCTTCAACTAGCAAAAAACTCACAACTTTCTATTCCAATATCTTTAATTGTCTGACGATTTACAAATAGAAACGAAAACCAGACACACACACACACGCAAACTACAAAGTAAAAACACAACCACCTGACATTAGACAGTGAGATTATTAAACATCCTAAACTAAAAAACAAACAAATTAATTCTCTATGTACAAGTCCCCATCGTGATCAATTTTTGCATCCCAATATAGTGGCGGTTAGTATAAGAGGACCTTCGTCTATTCACTCTCCATGTTTGTCAAACTATAGTACAGTACATATATGTATGGGAACAAATTCCGAACACTCTAGTACACTCCTCAACGCAAGTTCTATCTCATATCTCTGCAAGAGCTTATTCCAAGAAACTTTCTTGTGCTTCTATGCATGCCCAGGTACCTTAAGTCGCGCGCATAGTCACTTCACAGCCTTTTCAGTTCTCCCTTTGATGGCTCAGAGTGACGCAACTGCACAAAAATAAGAAAAAAGTCGAAGCGTCACGAGAGATGTATCCGGCTAGTTTCCTTGGAGTTCGGATTGCTCTCTTTCTCTGTCTCCCCGAACCATATGGAATTTATGAACTGCTGTTCACTAGTCAGTCACTTGTTTCAGAACTTTTGAGTGGTCGATTTATCCACCTTCTTGTTTCTTCCTGGGTCCAGAATCTGACTTCTTGAGACAACAAACAGTGCACAGTGGATCGAAGAATGACCACAGTTGAGACACGTGGCGCTGGCCTCATTTATTGCACCATACGTTTAGTGAAGAACTGAATAATGGTGGATATAAAGCAGAGTTGCACCCAGCCTCTCGTCCCTTCGGGGACATCCGATAAAATTGGAACGATACAGAGAAGATTAGCATGGCCCCTGCGCAAGGATGACACGCACAAATCGAGAAATGGTCCAAATTTTTTTGGCGATCTCCCCCATGAGTTACAGTTCCACCACACCCCTCAATCGCTGCATCGCGCTCAGGCAGATTCGGAATGGCACAGATCCAGTCTGTGAAATGTGGGATGCGGTTCAAGTCGAAGGACTGTCACACACACTGTGAGCTGTGAAAGTGCCGCTGGAAAGCTCGGATTGATATGGGACGCTGAAAAGTGAAGGCTTTTCTGCCGCCTTGGCCAGAAAAGGCCTTGACTTCTTCGGTCGCAGAAGATCTTCTTTATTGGAATTTTTCAGTGTTATGTGACAACAGAAACTCGGAAGAAATTCCCATCGACAAATATTGCAAAGCCATGAAAAAGGATCGTGGATTCACACGGACGCTGTTACGATGATAGATTTCGGCTTTTCTGCCATCGCGGGCATAATCTGATAGTAAATGCCTTGCCTTCTTCGGTCGCAAAAGAACTTCTCAGACTGGATTGTTTCGGTGTGATGTGACAACAGAAACTCAGAAAAACTTCCCATCGACAAATATTGCAAATCCATGAAAACAGATCATGGCTTTCGGATATTCTTGACTCAAAGGATGAGGTTCATTCCTCATGAATGCAACTTGGGACCATATCCATAACCTCTTGCATGCTAACTAAAAATTAGCATATTATTCAACCCACAAGTGGATCCTAGTAAATCCCACAACCATATCCACAAGACCAAATGAACACCAGCAAAATCAGTGCCCCGAAGTCGGCAAAGTGCACTCTTTTCGTCCATGGACAGATCACAAAAGTATGACTCCGCCATTGAACTACTGTCGTGGAAATGCAATTCCATGCACCTTTGGAACCGGCCTCTTGCTCTGAGGATAGTGATGGAGCTGTCTGTAGGCACACGCCCCGTTTGGGGACAGAGAGTGGGGACTCTGTCTGAGCGCGTGTTTTAGCTTTGTTACCGTTTTTAAATAAAGAAAATTAATTTATTGATATCTATTAGTATAGATCTTTTCATCAGCCCTCCCCGGAATTCATTTTTTAAAAATTATCCGGATAGGTTTAAAAGATAAATCCAGGAGAATTTTGATCGATCTACAAGTGTAATATGTGATAGAAGTATCACTTTTCAATTTCGGTTCAAGTTTTCCAGTTTTCTTAATTCTTCGCAAATTGCAATAATCAATTCTGTAATAATGTTTTGTATTATTGTCTAGTTTTTAAATTTTTATAAGCTCCTCAGTTTCAGATGCAAAATAGGGCAATCCACACTCATGCCAAATCATATTAACGATTTCTATTTGGTTGAAAAACAAAATTTATCTAATATAGCTATTTGAGCTAGAATTGTTCTATTTAAGTGTCGGGGCCGCTAGATTCAGAGAGCGCCGCCAAGTCATCGGCTGCAGGAATCCTATCCCGAACGAACTCGTGGAAGCAGGCCCTTCGCTCCACACTTCGCTGAGCAGCAGCAGCAGCAGACGAATCTCGGCCATGGGAAGCTCGGATCTCGAATGCGGACGTTGACATTCGATTAGTTTCCGCAGAGCTCACTTCTCTGAATCTCTCAGTCGGTCGGTCCGGAGCCATGGAAGCTGTGCTGCAGCAGGCGCAGCTCTGCTCGGTCTCGGCCTCGTTCAGGTCTGCATTTCGACTGGCCAATGTCAATTCGCGGCTCTGCTCGCGAGGATTCGGTGCGGTCCGGTGCGCCGGCAAGCGAGGAGGCACGGTGTCGACCAAGAGGCCCGCCAATGCCACCGGAGGTTTTGGTGCCAAGGCTCCTGTGAAAACCTGTAAGTTGGCAATCCGAATGAGCTCTGCACCGGAATTTGCAGTTTGTGAGGGGGCCTGGAATTGAGAGTGTGGGCGTTTTGGATTGCAGCGTTCGATGCCGGAGTTCTGCTGAAGCGGTCGGAGCAGATTTACACGAAGCTGATCGCCGAGCATGCGTCGGAGGGAGATGTGCGCGAATTTATCATCTGTGTTCGCCAGAAGAGCGAAAAGAACAGCAAGCCCGTGCTGGATGACTGGCTCCCCGTCGCGGAGCTCGCCCTCGTGTCTGAATTTGACGCCTCTGCTGTTCTGCCTCAAGCTCTCCCTATTCTTTGCAGGTGACGGTCGACATGAGGCTCATTGCCGGCGCAAATTCTGCCTGTCCTTGTCGTCGACGTTCACCGGCTGCATTTTGGCTCCACGATTTATTTTGCGGCCCCAAGTTTCATACGAACTTGCGCTGCTGTGCTCTTTAATTTTCTGCTGGCATGGATGAGACTGACTGTTCGACATTTTGACAGGGAGGTTGCGGAATGTGCCGCCAAAGGAGCAGTAGCTCTTCGTGCCATTTCGCGAAGCTGGTATGTTTTCTTACCTCACGCAAAATTCATATTCACAGTCAAGGTCCATGTCGTGCTTTCCTGCTGTGTTCAACTTTGCTAAGAATCGTGGGAGTGCTGTTTCTTGAAACCCTCACTGCGTCTCGAGGTAAACCGTATGACCTGTTCTCCTCAGGATGGGAGAAGGGAAAGGTTTAAGCCATCTAGAGTAGAAGTCTTCCTAAACCCCTGGTTGGCCAACAAATCTCGTGCACCGCTGCTCAAGTTGCTATCATGGCGCAGCAAGCCAGCCAAGGGTTTAAGCAACTGGATGTCTTCTGGATTGGCATTTGTGCAGTCTGGAGTACGCATACGAACCCGCAGAAGCATTCTATGATCATGTGATGTCGGGATCGCAAATGCAGCTGTCCAGTGTGGAGTGCCCTTACGGTGTTCTAGGGTTACCCAAAGGAGCTCCTGCGAGCGAGGTAAGCTCAGCCAACTCATGGCTCCGTGGGTGGCTGTAGCTGCAAATCACGACATGTGCTCAATGTCAAGAGCTTTCATTCCGGAGGCTCGATTGAAGATTACCGATGGCCCGTCTAATTCCTTACACTTCTTACAGGTTCGCACCGCTTACAGGTCTTTAGCCGCCCAGAACCATCCCGACAAACACTCTGGAGAAAACGCAACCGCTGCCGAACAAGAGTTCAAGCGAGTAAGTCGTTTGCCTCTCATATTTTGAAATGCTTTTGAGCCATTGCATAGCAACCAAGATGTGCATGTGGAGACAGGCCTCAAGACTTTCGAGCTTGAATGGCTCTTTGTTGGAATTTCAGTGTGTTTGGTCTCACCTTCTACTGGATTGGCCCGCAGGTGACCAGTGCCTACGACCAGATCAAGAGAGCTGGTCTTGCTGCCGGAGGAGTGCCGACTTATGAATCTCTGGGTGGAACTGGACGGAATGGACTCAGTGAGCCTATCAGCATAACTAGCAAAACTATGTCCGCAGCCATTCCTGAAGGCGTACAAGTTGCTGTCAGACAACTTGATCCTGAGATTACCTCTCGATTTTTGACTCGCATATACGCACGATCAGGAGGAGCTACTTTCGTGTGACACATCGAATTTTTGGGAGTAAGGAAACGAAGTACCTGCTTCCCAGTGTCTCCTTCTTATCCATTCTTATCCATTCTTCCACTAAGTTGTCTGATCTAGATTGGCGAATATTTATGTCGTTTTGACGAATATATACGCAGATTGAGGAGCTGGTGTTGGTGCTCATACTTTGCTGTTGCGTCACCGTCGCAGATTGAAATATACCAAACGCTGGTGGAAAATGGATCCAGCTGCAAGAGCTGGATGAGAAGTTTGAACGGACAAAGCCATTCTAATTGAAGGATGTATTCAAACATCAGGGGGACAGCCGCTCGATACACTTGAGATCACTCTCATATTCATAGCCTCACAATTGGGGAAGCAGAGACATATTTAGTACGTAGTTCAACAGATAGCCATATCTTAAGCTGAGTAAAATTGGAGGAAGGCTGCTTGAGTGACCGCTTTTTGCAGCTACGAAGGTGTTCTAGCAGACATAAGGACTTTGTAAAATGTATACTTGAGTAGAATACTCTATTAATCCCTCTTGAAGTAGAGCTGACATTCCAATAAAATCTTCGATTGGAGATACAATTTTGTCGAAAGCGGACTATAACAACGACTGGTTGTTGAAGAGACTGTCAATACTATCAGGGACTAAAAAAAACCTTCATTGTCTTTCAAAAAGGTTTTTGACCTGTTTTGTTGTCCATACATAGCTTGGAACGATACTCGAAATATCCCACGAAAAGTCATAGCTGCCAAAGTTCACACTGCTCCGTTGGTTTTCTTCATCTTTCATGTCTAGTGGTATCATAGAGAGTAGTACCAGAAGCGAGGCCTGCAAAATTCTCGACCTCTCGACATGGTCCTCGTCGTAGACGTGCGGTCAGCATCGAAATGAACCTCACTCATTATACATAAGGAACTGCACTTTTGATTTTGGTTTCCTGTTCTCATTCATTCTTCGCTTTCTCGCCACAAGATCTAAATTCTTCTGAATTGGTACACGATATGACACTTCACAACAGGAACAAGCTTTGACACAGGAAAGCGGGTAAAATATAAGCCGCGAACTTTTTACACGTACTGTGATTGGTTCTGTAATGCATCCATCAATCGTGTCTCTGTTTAGAAACCGCCCATTCAGCCCCTACAATACAGGAACTTATTGCATAGACATGTAAATTAAGTTCGTTACAAGATTGAGAAACAGTAAAAAAACCCTGGCTCGCCCCCGCAACGCACAGCCTAAATTCTGTGGTGCACTGCGAAACTGTAAACAAGGAGAAGTGAGTGCACTCCAACTTCCCAAATATGTTTATCAACAACTATGCCAACTACGTTCCCCAATGAGCTAAAGCTGTCAGAGTCTAGTCTTCAGATAACATCCGGTGGATTTCTTTGAGGTATGGCAGACTTTGGAGGTAATCGGAGCCATAATGAACTCGAAATATATACTCGGCGCTACGTAAGCTCCTCTTCGCGCAGTCATTATCAGGTACTGTAAGTGCAACCGATGCGAGTTTGAGATACTCGTTGCCCAGAACAATGTGGTGCTTGCTGTACAAGTGCTCAAGAATCTGCACAACAGGACAAGAAGCCGAGACGCTTAATAAGTTCATATTTTCCTAAGAATCATTCCCAGAGCCAAATCACAAGTTGTGAAATAGTTTTACACCGAACGAACCGTGACAATTTCAGAATTAATAATAAGACTTTAGACCTCAGCGCATGTCCTCCTGGCCAGCTCGTCTATACCTGCATGTCCCACTCTCCCTGTTGTCCAGCCCAACTCTAGTCCTTCGTGTGAGAGCACTCACCTCGATTGCGTTTTGGCAATGTCTCAGGCCACTTGCAGGTTGATCCAAGAAGCAAAGTAGTCGAGCAACAATATCCTCCGCCTGTGAATTCCAGATTTGCAAACATATTGTCAAGTTACAATTTAGGCAGCTGCAATCCCCTCCAAGTGGCTCGAGACGAGCGTCATTTCCGGTTCGATTCGTGTGACCGACATCGAGCTGTCAAAGCCACTCACTCCGCTGTCGCGTCATGCGTCACGATAACGTCCAGAGTCTACCGACCGTTACGCACTGCTGCCTATAAACCGTTACGTCGTTTTGAGTCCTGCATTCCGGTGCTTATAAGCGGTAGAGGTCAGAGGTCGCAGGTACGAGCCCCTCGAGAAAGAGAGTTCTGGCGGGCATCGGATCGTCTACATATGCGGACAGTGGGCCACGCTTGGTTCCAGAACTCCCGAGTGCTGGCAAATCTCAGAAAAACAGAAGAATAGCACCCCCGCCCCTCTATATAAAGATATTGAGGCCAACTGTGCGATTAAAATTGTTATGGGACTGCCAGTGATGCGTCTGTGATCCAGTGGAGGCTATGAACAACTCGATCAGAGCGACGGTGAAGCATACATAAGGAGGATCTTCGTTCGTAACACGCCAGAGTTTCAGCGAAATCCAAATAGGACTATGAGGTGCTCTCACTCGACTTAAGTTACAGGTGTTGAACACATTCAGAATCAGTAAGTACTTGCAAGGCTTTCATGGCGAAGGATGAGGCAAGTGATCCTCAGCGAATGGAGAAGCAAACTCGTCTCCAGATTCCAGCCCCACTAGAGCTCGATAGGTTGATCCAGAAGGAAGAAACAATATTGCATATGTTGCATGCTCTGGTGAAAACTCAGAAGAAGGCTTCTACGCAGGAACGTAAGCAAGGAGCTGAACCTCATCACCAGGCGGAACAGTCCCCTGAGCACAACGAATCTACAACACTCGAATTGTTGACACAGCAGCAGGACAAGATGATGAAAATACTTCGCGGTATGGTCAACGATGAAGATCTTGAGTATAATGAACAGGATGGCACCACAGATGCGGTCCTAAAAATCCAAGAATTGAGCTCCTCAAGTACTGACTGTACATCAAAACGGAAGCGGAGGGAGTTGAAACCAAAAGATGAGCAAAACCTTGCTTCCAAGACATTGTCAAGCTCAAGCTGTGGCTCCATCACCAGAAAGGACGAAGATTCTACTGTATTATAAATCGTGCGAGGAAGTGAAAGAGTCCAAATACCTTGGCCAGCTGCTCATTGTAAGCATGTACAACCGTCCGCAACTTGCCAAGAGCAACAAGAGCAACGTCCAGTGACTGGCTCAGGTTGCCAACTTGTCCTTCTAGTAAAAGCATCTTCGATTCGATACTGCAGCTTCCACCAGACTGGGTTACATAAACTACAGTCAGCTTGAATAGGGAAATGTCTACTGGAGACAATGTGCTTCGAATAAAAGAGGCTGAAGCTAGGAACCTTTACAAATGTTTTACCTCTGTAATTGGGAAAGAGCAGTGTTTGCAATTTCTTGGGCAGTTTCGACATCTACTGGAGATCCACAATCCGGGCAACGTCCATCTGTTTTGTAGCGTGCCATCAGTTTAGTAAATTCACTTTCAATGAAGTCGGTATCTGGCACTGCGTCCTTTTGTACATAAGTGTAAGTGAATGCTTGAAAGTCCTTTTCAGATACACATGTTCTGCCGAGACTCTGGTCACAACTCCCTGGATAAACTCTGGGCAATTTTGAGAAGTTTCCGAAACTACTGTCTCCACAACCATGCTCTTCTGATATAAATTCTTCGTCTACTGCAGGTGGCAACCTCTCTGAATATGTGAGGTGGAAGTCACACAGATCTGGTCTTAAAACAACTCCCATGCACCCTTGTTTTGTACATCTGAACGACCTAAGGAACAGATCTGACGACGATACTCTTGCGCAGGCAGAGCATTTGCATGTAAAAGAATACCGCTCTTGTAATGTATTTTTTCTCTCCATGTGACTCATGTGTCCTACCTGTCATACGAAAAGAAGGCTCATTTAGCGCTTTGTGTGTTTAACACTCCACATCTCCATTCTCCATTTCATTCAAAGCTCAGAAAGAGCAAAGTTCCGCTTCAGTCCTAAACAAAATTCAAAGAATTTGAACAAACCTGTGGACCGTAACAAAGCTCTAAAGAAGAACCTGCTGAGATAGTTGATACGGATTGTATAAAAAGACACCGTAGTTTGAAAGAAGCATGAACATTAGGAACACATGAGTGATTCAAACTGCTCCCGAGCAAGAATAAACCTTGAGCAACTTTGACCTGAAAAACACAGGGAAACAACAAGTTACAACCCGTCTTCCTAACATCTTCTTCACAATGCAATATCACCCACACAGCAGTACTTGAAAAGTACAAGTATGATCATCAGGATACATTACTTGCTCAACTGTGCAGAACGCCATGCCAGCTGTTGAGTTTAAATCCTCTTCTGGAGAAGACATGCGATATATAGCCATGGCATTGACCCTCGTTTGGGCTATGAGAAGTACAAGCTGTAAGAAGGGGCATCAGTCGAAGTCCTCAAGCACAGTGAATCCATCAAAAATAAGTTTATCCTACAGGTCATACGGTTTACGTAAGAACCATTGTACCCAGACTTTTACTCCTGTTGAAAGCCGAAAAGCAATGCAAGGCAAGCCTCCAGAGCAGAAAAACAAAACGCTGGTTCTCAGCATACAAACCTTGGAGGCAACTTCTGCTGCAGACTTAGTTCCATAAACCATGAAAGAGTTTGAAGATTGTTGGATGCAATGCGCGACAATGACCCCTAGCACATGCATCTCCAGCTTATCATTTGAGCTAAGCTTATCAAAATTCGAACAAAGGGAGTCAATCTGCAATAAGATAGATAGGCCATCAATAATGATGTACTTTGTGACAAGTTCGTACTAGAAGTGTGTGAAAGATCTCATTGTCTCTGACTTTTTAATCTATGAAACTAGATCCACTGGCCTAGCTTCAAAATTTCTGCAAATGACTGCAGTTTATTCTGTTTTCCTAAAGTTCCACTAATTCCTGGCATTTCCATGAAATCAAAGACATATGATTTGCGATAGATGTTTCACATACCATTCGAATCCTTGTTAGGTAATACTGTCTATCGGATCTGTCTTCTGTGCAAGGTGTATCTCCCGGGACTTTTGGAGAGCGATCGTTGTCCAGAATTCCGGCCCTTTGGGTAATACGAAATAGTATACGGGCAGCCAAGACCGCTTCTGTCGGAAGCACCGCAGACCATGCGCAACCTCCACATTCATGAATATGTTCTCCGTGAACTTTTACTGGAGGACTTTCTGATATTTTCACCTCGCTCTTGTGGTTTTCATCCAAATTTAGGGACTGCGTCACGGGCATAGCTGTTGCTTGATCTCTGCATGACTCCGAGCAATACATAGGGATGGCACATCGGCAGCAACCCACAGGATCAACTGGAAGCACCTCAAAGCAGTAATGGCAGTGCGTGTCCCGATTCGATTTAAGAACAATCTACAAATATCAAAGGAAGTTCTGTAAGTAATAGCATCTAAATGAATCAACAAAGAACTAGGAAACTACTCACGCCTTCTCCAGTTTGGACCAAAAAGGCTGACGACAAATGATATGAACAAACACAATATATGTCGATGTGGACTTTCAGTAAATTGTTCGTATTAAGAGGTCTCCGTCCGTTTAGGTTAGATTCCTATGCGCTCCTAAGACTTTCAAATTCTAACAGAAGCAATTTACTGTTGTAATATCAGAAAAAAAAGCGTTGTGTACTTTTGCAAGTTTCGGTAAGACATTATGTTTCTAGATAGATCAGTGTGTACGGTTGTGGCCTCTATGAATCTAGTAAGTTCCAGTCAACAATCGTAGACGCTACATACAGCAGCATACGCTTGTTCTTGAAAAATCAAAGATCCAATGTCCAACTGCTCAGTGGTGTACAGATCCCATCCTCTTTCATCACTCCAATGCAGTCGCAAGCGTTGCACATCAGGCAAACCTTCTCGCTGAATAGTCTTCAATTCTGGGGCATCGGCAGTGCGGTTACAACGTCTGGCTGCGGCCTACATATACGAATTGCCTCAGAAAATACTACTCCAGTTTAAAAAAACAGCGTTTAATGTAAAAAATTACCTAGGTCCAATTGTGTTGTGATGTCAGAGGGCAAACTTCGAGTTGTCAGTTTAGTTTCCATGAAAGCAATCTCATTCTCTATTTGCTTCAGCCCACTGCCTGTTTTTTCATGAAGAAGAGCTTCTTTCATGTCCACCACAGCACCTTCAAGGTTGTTCACGTCAAACTTGATCCTACTTCGCCTGTACCATGCCTGCCAGAAACAATTCCCAACTTCAACTTGATGGAAAAAGCAACTGACACGTGCTAACTTGCAGCATCTAAATGTATATTACAGATGAAGAAAGTTCGATCACTTTCTCGGAGATCGAACTTTCTCCGAGATGGCGAAGATAGGACAATCGTTAGGTACCTTAGAGTAAGAAGGATACACGTCAATAGCTCGGCCACAGTCTCTGAGAGCTGCTTCATATTGCTTTAGTTTCTGCAAGGTCCTCCGGTTAGATCTTGACTTCCAGAACAGAATCGATCCAAGGAGCGAATCATGAAGCAACACTGAGATAGATATCAAAGAGGGTCCACAAGCTTTCTGGTTCCTTGCTTTACTACTCATGACATCATCTCAAGACATAGGGCTGGACAAGTTTGTCGCATGAAGGGCACATAATATCTAGGAGGAAATGTACATGCAGAATAGATGCCCTGTTGACGAATACAGTGGCAAGGAGAAGTTTATCCTCCTCCTTAGACGAATACGGCGCAAAGCGAAGGGCCTGCAGGGTCAACAAAAATCAGCACTTTTGGTGACAAAATTTGAAGAAATACTTAATGACAGATGTCACAAATAATTCAAGTGAAATTTTACAGCTTCCTAGTAGCAACCTTCGTGTATGCGGATAATGCTTCTGCATGTTTCGAAATTTTCAAGGCAGTATTTCCATCTAGCTTGGATTTCAGGGTCACGGAGGCATCCTTAGCGCAGCTTGATTGGAAAGTGTTGACAAGTTGTTCAAGGAGCTGAGACAGAAACATTGGTACGATGAGGTTAGCCAGAATGCTTGTAACAAGGAATTCATGGTGTAACTTATATAATGCTTGTAACATGAACAATACATCTGAGAAATGTTGGCGACTCTGACCAAACGTCGAAACATAATTGCTTGTCCAATGTGATGTCGCTATCGCTCATATACAAGGCACGAAACGGTCAAATAAGACCAAAATTACATCCATCATCTATGTACGGTATTACTATTTCCTAACGATTGGACAGCCCCAGATTGCGCAGAATTTTCAATTGAAATCGAAAAATGACACAATGGGGTGCAGAAAACTGTATGCACAAAGAATTGTAAAGACACCAATCGGAGGAGAAGTTCTTCTTCAAGTTCATTTGAACATCCTTCTTAAGCAGTTTTTGTCAATGATAAAATATGACCTGCAACGCAGGCAAACTCTTCCAGACTGGCAGGCCATTCGAGCAGCTTATTTCACCAAGTTTCAAATGAGCTTGAAAATTCACAATAGGAAAGTACATCTGACTTCACTTTGCAAGCCAAAAAAGACAAGATCTCAATGTTTGGCAAAACAACCTCAAAACTCAAGACTCGACTGTACGGAATTGAGTGGCTGTGATCAGGGGTTTCAGCCTTGACCCTCGCATCGCATACCTGTCCAAACAGGAGAGATGTCGAGAAATGCAGATCGAGTGCAGCGCAAGAACTGCGAAGATCCGAGACGTCTGTGGACATGATCATATTTTTCAAGCCGAGAGGGATGGATCGCAGAAGCGGCTCCATAATGAGCCACAACCGTCGTGTGTCGATCTTCTCTTTTCCGACGGAACGAAACTTTCCGAAAAATACCCACAGGTCAGAACGAGAAAACCGACCCAAAATTGAGGCAAACGAAAGGAAAGCTTCGCAGTTCCACGACTCGATCTGCCAATTGCACTCACTGGCTTGCGGCCCTCGATGCGCAGCTCGAGCCTCGAGCGCGAGCTTGAGCGGAATCCGAGGGCGCTGAATTCGAATCGGGCATTTACACCGGGGCACCCAACCACAGTACCTCCGACACTCCATCGTAGCCATCCGGCCTGTACCACGTAGGAGCCGGACAGTACAGTACTGTACTGTGCCTGCCAGGAGCCTGCTGTGCTTACTGTGATTCGCTTTCCTGCAGTACACTGTTCGTACGTGGTGGAGACCCAGGACCGTGACTGGTCATGTGGGTGGGTGGCTGCAGAACACGTGTCTGTGTCAATCCGGTGATCTACTTTCCACTGTCCTCGTCTCTTTTGGATTCTGCGTCACGGTTTCAATTATATTCCCATCCTCTGCTCTGACTTTTCCCTTAGCCTTTCCTTATCCTCCGATTTCCCTTGTATTATTTTTTCCCATGTCTGGTCGTAATTTCTTATAGGTTCTACCCTAAATATCAGCGAACGCTTTTAACACCTAAGTTCCAAGCTTTTTATCCACATTGCAGTACACAGACATCATCCTATTTGCATAAGTAAAACCCCATCCAGCCGCATGATGAATAACCTAGACGGAATCTAGAGGCAAGCCGAAGTGGAATGAAAATACATATATATAGAGAAATATCTTAAGATAGTTAGTATCTTTTCTATGTTGCTGTGCACAATCAACATGGACATTCTGTACATGGACTTTCATCGCAAGATCATGATTCGTAAGTCATGATCTCATGTACAAGTGAACTCAGTTCTTTACCGAACTTTAGTGTATGTTTTATTAAATTGAAGGCTTATAGAAAAGTGAGAGCATCACGTTGATAACTTTAGAAGTACAAATGAGTCAGAAGATTGCGAAGAATATATTAAATTTATTTCACTAAAATCCAAGAAATTACAATTTACCATCATAACAATTTTAATATTCTGCATTGTAGTCTACAAATTTTCAAAGAAACTCACTCATATATGTATGCAACACAATGGTTTCGTGCATATCAGTAATTAAACTGAAAAATTATAAAAAATTAATTTAATAAAGAAAAAAATATATATAATTTATAAACTCGAGAATAAAAAAATGTTTTTTATTTTATGAAAATTTAACTGAACATTTTTATCCAAAAAAAAACTGATTTTCATTGAAATTTTTGAAAAAACTTTCAAAAATCACATTTTCTGATAAAGAAAACATATATAAAGATTCCGATTTTTTAAATATATTCATCAAAAAATAATTTCAATGAAATTTATTTTCCAAGTAATTCATCTCTTATTATGTAACATTTGTTAAGAGTTTTGATTTAAAAATATTTACTTGAATTATCAAAATAGCACTTTTTCATTAAACTACTGAATGTTAACGAAAAATCAAGAATCATTCACAAGACACTCATATAATGTGGTTCACCCTCAAAGGCTACGTCCACGGCTGGAACACTGAGCAGGTTTACTGACAAGTGAATACACAATGTTTCGGCTACACTGAAAAGCCTTGGTTTTGGAGGTATATTTATACCTAAAGCCAGCGACACACATAACTATAAATAGCTAGAGCCTGAGGTTACTCATTAACCGGAGTTAACCTCAACAATCTCCCCCTTAACTCGTGTAAAGAAAACAGTAACCTCTGAAATCTATATTATTACTCAGCGGGAAGTTCTAGATAGATGTCTATCACAAGGCCCCTCTTTATACGAGAGTTAACTAGAACTAGACCGTAGCCATAACAGGATAGAATAATAACATAAAGAGGTAAATAGAGTTAGTATGCTAGCAAAGTTTACATGTGCTCCCCATGCACAACTTGCATGGTAGCACAATGTCGCTTGAAACTCTCCAATGGAATAACTTTGGTCAAAGCATCAGCTGGATTGAGTTTACCGTCAATCTTTACTAGTTCAATCATTTTATCAGACAATGCTTGTCTGATAAAATGATACCTGATGTCAATGTGCTTCACTCTGCTATCCATGACCTGGTTCGCGGCCAAATGTAAAGCGCTCTGACTATCACAATGAAGATTAACCACGCCCTGCTTCAATCCCATTTCCATGATAAGCCTATCCAACCAAATAGCTTCCTTTGCCGCTTCTGCTGCTGCCACATATTCAGCTTCCGATGTTGACTGAGCCACGCATTTCTCCAAGGTAGACCTCCAACTAATGCTTCCACCGCCAAGTGTAAATACATACCCAGTTGTAGATCTCCTTTTATCTAGATCTTGTCTGTAGTCAGCATCAACGTAACCAAACAAGGATTTGGCATTGTCTAATAGACCATCAAACAATAAGCCATAATCCAGAGTACTCTTCAAATATCTCAAAATCCATTTCACTGCTTCCCAATGAACTTTCCTTGGATTTGACATGTACCTGCTCACCTTGCCCATCGCAAAAGCAATGTCCGGCCTAGTGCACACCATCAAATACATGAGGCTGCCTACAGCTTGTTCATAGGGAACACATGACATATTTCCTTTATCCACCGCATCCGTAGGACATTGAGCTGCAGAGAGTTTGAAATGTGCTGCCAAAGGTGTCCATACTCTTTTGGAATCCATCATGTTGAACCTGTCAAGTATACGACGAACATACTTGCCTTGACTCAACCATAGTTTCTTCTGCTCATGATCTCTATGTATCTCCATGCCTAATATTCTCTTTGACTCCCCCATATCCTTCATCTTAAATGCATACTTCAACTTACTCTTGCATTCATCAACATCGGATTGGTTTTTTGCCAATATGAGCATATCATCAACATAGAGTACTAAAATGATGAGATTGAACGTCTTATCATTTACCTTCTTCATGTAAACACAAGGATCATACACACTCCGAATAAATCCTTGTGCCTTCATGAACTGATCAAATCGCGTGTTCCACTGCCTATGAGCTTGCTTCAATCCATACAATGATTTCAATAATCTACAAACCAACATCTCTTTGCCTTTGACCTCAAAACCAACAGGTTGTCTCATGTATATCTCCTCCTCTAAATATCCATAGAGAAAAGCTGTAACCACATCCATCTGATCCATAACAAGATCAAATATTGCAGCCAGTGCACATAACAGACGAATTGTAGCATACTTAGCTACCGGTAAGAAAACTTCGTTGTAGTCCTCGCCCTTCTCTTGGGTGAAACCTCTAGCCACCAACCTAGCTTTGAAGATTTTTGTCTCGTCTCCTCCTGGATTATCTTTCAGCTTGTACACCCACTTGGAGTCAATCACCATTTGATTGGTAGGAGACTCAACCAGCTTCCAAGTATTATTGTCAATCAGGGATTCCATCTCCCGCTTCATAGCAGTATTCCACTCAAGCTTATTGATCAAAGCTTGAGCTTCCTTGTATGAAGAAGTTTTACCTTCTTCTAAAATCAACGCTATACCATTCCTATCTTCGATATCAAAGTCACAATCTTCTAGAATGGATAAATTTGCCCACACACCAAACCTTTCAGGAGCCCTACTAGCACGATGCGATCTACTAGTAGACGTTTCAGGTTGATCTCTGTTGTCTGAAACTATTGCAATAGGCTCATCAATGATAATTCGCTCAAGTTCCTCATGTTCTTGATGAACCGGTGCTTCTTCTTGTGACAGATCATTAGTGATATAATGATCAATCTCTCCCACGGTGATATACGTGACTGGAGATTTTTCCTTGTCAGTACGAGGAGACTTAGAATTCTCCTCCTCTTTCAATAAGCCAAGCTCATTGAAAGAAACATCTCGACTGACAATCACCTTACGTGCTAGTGGATCCCATAGCCTGTAACCTTTCACTCCACTAGCATATCCAAGAAAACGACATTTCTTGGATGTAGGGTCTAACTTAGTTCTCTGCTCCTTTGGCGTAAGAGGATAAGCAGTACAACCAAAAACCTTCAAGCGGCTGTAATCCGCCATCCGTTTATACCTGAGTTCAAACGGTGTGGAAAATTGGATTGCACTAGAAGGAGAGAGGTTTACCAGATAAACTGCGGTGTTGACGGCTTCGGCCCAAAACTCTCGTGGTAAACCAGATTCACTTAGCATACTCCGCACCTTTTCCAACACTCTTCTGTTGAGTCTTTCAGAAATAGCATTTTGTTGGGGAGTGTAAACTATCGTGAAGTGACGAGTAATCCCCTCCTCTGTACAATACCTCTGAAACTCCTCAGAAGTATATTCGCCGCCATTATCTGATCTTAAATATTTTACCCTTTTGCCAATCTGATTCTCAACTTGAATGCGCCAAGTTTTGAAGGTTGAAAAGACCTCAGACTTGTGGGTAAGAAAGTATACCCACACATACCTAGAGTAATCATCTATAAAAGAAACATAGTAGAGCTTTCCTAAGAGTGAGACAGTAGGAGATGGACCCCATACGTCACTATGTACATACTTCAGTATCTCCTTGGAATTATGAGTACCAACACTAAAAGCTTGCCTATGTTGTTTTCCCATGATGCAGTGTTCACAAAATGCAAAGTCAAGGGTACCCAAACCCGGTAACACTTTCTTGTCATCAAGAAGAGACAAGTATCTATCACTCATATGGCCAAGTCTGGAATGCCATAAATGAGACATCTCTCTGCGAGATCGGGTAAAGTTGACTTCTCCACAAATTGTGGTGTCCTCTAATAAGTACAGATTATTGTGCTTCTGACCCTTAAGTATAATCTTCTTGTCACTGGATTTGACATCTAACACTCCATGCTTAGAGCTCCACTCCAAGCCGTGTGAATCTAACACTCCAAGAGAGATCAAGTTCTTTCTCATATTAGGAATAAATCTAACGTGTGTCAGTGTTCGATTTACACCATCAAACATGCAGATTTTAACAGATCCAACACCCTCAATCTTACAAGGTTGGTCATTTCCCATAAGAACATACCCGTTTGATGTTGAGAAAGTATAGAAAAACTCTCTAATGTAGCAAATGTGATAAGAACAAGCACTATCCAAAATCCATACATCACCAAGAACTGTTGGTGAACTACAGAGGGCATACCTCTGGCATCATAGACCGTCGATAAACACGTCTTCCTCTTCAAAGTGA